GAATGCCCGGCTTCCAAAACACAGGTTGAGAAGATCTCACCTGAGCCAGCCTCTTCTTTGGTGCCTGAGCACGTTGAGGAACCCTCACCTCACCCAGATCCTGTCCCCAGTGCCCAGGTTGAGGCAAACTCACCGGCCACCACCGAAGCTCCATCCCCAGCGCAGTCCCATTCAGGCCCAGATCCGGGAATCAAGGGCGAGGACATCAGAGGGGAACCAGATCCGGAGGTTCCCTTGGAGCTTCTTTTCAAGCAGCCCCTGAAGATCCCGAGATCCCTCCGAGGCGTGTCCCTAAACAAAAAAGGCACGTCTGGCACGCCTTGGACTACTTACACTCCGGCGGAGCTGGAGGACGAGCTTGGAGGGGTATGGGCCGTATTGGGGGTAGGTGGCAGTCGTGTCACCTTGGAGCCCCCGGCTCAATGGGGACTTGGAGCCGAAGTTCAGGTCCTCAAGCTGGGGCTCGCCGAGGCCATGGACCAGGAGCAGATTTTTCTGGAGGGATTATCCAGAGATTTCACCTTTATTCCTCGACCGGGGTCCTTTGGTGAAGTCCTGCTCACCTTGTCAGAGAATGGCCATGGCCGGGGTTTTTCCCTTCGTGCCCGCGCGGTTTTCTACAGGCGGGTCATCCCTGTGGCTTCTCCGCAGGGAAGGCTTAGGACACTTGATGTCCCGGACCTCCTGGCCTTGTTAAGTGTGGTCGCGTTTTTGTGTGCCTGCCATATCCGCTTGTCGGATCTTGGGGAGCACAACGTAGGTTGGGCCCTCCCGACCTTGGCGCGCACACGCGCCGAGAACATGGCGCTCCAAAGTGCAAAGCTGCGCTCGGCCGACTACGTGCAGGTTTGTTTGTACGACGGGGGCCGCTGGAGAGAAGCGCAGCACAAGCACTGGCCTGGAAAGGCGGCAACCAAGGGGCTCCTTGGCCTATGTGCCAAACATGAAATGTTTGGGCCATGGGTGGAAGAACAAATCCATCTCTATGGCTCCCCCGAGGTTTTGGCCAAGGTCTTCCTCCACCGCCTCCAGGACTTCCCGCACCACTTCGAGGGTTTAAAGGACTCGGGGTTCTTAACCTACCTCCCTTTGTGCTACAGGGTTGGTATGGTCATTCCCCTGAGCAACCCTTGGAGCAATCCGGATGATACAACCTGGCAGCTCGTTCCGATCCCAAGTTTGGACACCCCAACAAGTTGAGAAACCCCTTGAAGGGTCTTAAGGTGAGGTGACTCCCTTAAGCTTGCAAGCCGCTCCAGGGTGAGGAGACTCCCCTTTCCAGCTTTAATTCAACGAGCCAATTTGGTCACAAGCCTAAGTCTGCTCAAGGTGAGGTTACTCCCTTGCTCTACAAGCCAACAACGTGAGGAGACTCCGTGGACTTGGAGAAGCTACAAGGTTGAGATACCTCCCTTGCACCCTTTTGTTGCCGCCTAGCTCAAAGTGAGGAGACTCCTTGGAAGGTAGGCTGAGGGCAACCGCAGTAGGCAGGTGAGCTCGACCAGTCTGTGCCGAGGGTGCTGTTTAAGGACATCACCTGATGTCAGACTGGTCTAGAGAAACTCGCCGCTCCCAAAGTGGACTAGGCTCAGAACTCAGGGTGAGGTGACTCCCCTCAAACTTCGTCTCACCCTGACTCGAACTGGGCTCAGCCCAGCGGACCGACCGCTCGAGCGTGATTTTCAATCCTATAATGGTGCCCCTGTGTCTCGCCAAGGTCAGGAACACTTTCTGTTTTCTCCTTTGTGAGTTTTAGAGAACCTTAGGTGTAGTTGTGAACGGTAGGAGTAGGGAAAAGTTGTCTGTCTGTCGGTCGCTGCGCTCACGCTTCCTGTCTCACCTTGCGGTGAAAGTGATCATTACCAGAAGCGTGTCCAACCGGAGTTTTCCTCACGAGTTTTCACGAAGAATGGTGTTTCCCTGAACTTTCCTGAAGCATGATGAACATCAGAGTGTTGTCAGTTTGTTTGCTGTGAGAGCGGACTTCTAGACGAAGTCCGGGGAACACCTGGGCCGTGTAGCAGAGTTGCCAGTGCAGAGAAGCCGTTAGGAGTCCTTAGGACTTACCTCGGAAGTGAGTGTGCTGAAGTCTCTGTCCGCGCCCCGTTTCACTTTGGCTCAAGACTTGCACTGCGTGACAAGCGCGTGGTGAACAGTTGGTTGCGACGAAAGGTGTAAAAGTGCTGTTAGCTTTCACTGCTGTAGCCTTGCGTGACGTAGTCAGTCAGTCGGCTTGCACCTCCTTTTACTAGACCTAGAAGTGTGCCTCAAGGCGCGTTTGGGTTTTAACGACACTTGTCAACGCTGCCGCGTTGCAGACCTCGGAAGCGTCGGACTGCCGAGCTATTTGGCAGGTACGCCACTCTTAGGTGCACTGGCGCGGCACAGCGGCGACGTTGTCACCACTTGGGTGCATCTGGAAGCGATCCTGCAGCAGCCTTACTGGCACTCCGATCACAGAGCTGCTTTAACGCCAGCATGAAAACACCCAACCCTGATGACTTCTTGCGGGAGACCTTGCAGCCACATGAGAATGCCTTGGAATGGGCTAGAGGAGCCCATGAACAGTGTGCTAATTCCACCCTCTTCGCCTTGAGCTCCGACCACTGCCGGGTGTGTAGCCTGCCGGGACCCTTCCCCCTCTTCATGGCTAGCACGCTTCCCCCGGACAGCAAATGTATTGGTCCGGCCTTCGTGCACGGATACGGTGCCAATAGTAGGCCCCTTTGGCGCAGCTGGACCGCCTCCGCTCATTGCCCACCCTCGCAGAGACACTTTGGAGGTGGCGTGACGCCCCATCCTGGTGGGCAGTCTCTAGCTTAGGTTTGATGTAAGCCTCTGGCTTTAGCGTGATAGCTCCCGAGCACTTTTCTGGACCCAGAGCGAGACGGGTCCTCCCATTTCGGCGTGTCACACGGCATCGTTTTTCGCAACACATGCGCACGTGGGCGCGCTGGCGGATATGTGCCCTCCTGCCCGCGACTGAGCTGGAGCAAGTCGCAGCTATGTCTGCCTCTTCCTCCGCAGGGAAGCAAATGCTGACACTTGACATGACGGACCATTGCCTGGTGTCCTACCGTGCTGTTCAAGGCTTTGACGTGGCACATGCAGATGACGATGACCACCCGGCGGCCGGTTACCCTCCGGTCACGGAGATGCGCATTGAGTGCTCCGGAGCCAGCACGTTTTGCGCTCCGGCACGCAGTGATGCCTGGCAGCTCACGTGCTCTATCCAGTGCTATGGTCCAACCGGCTGCCACGTCGAGACTTGTGACAAGCTGTCGGCGACGGTATCGGCGCGTCTTAGTGCCACAAGCTCGCTGCACTCTCACTTGCAGGATCCACACTCTGCATGTCTTGCAGCACTGTGCATTGCCTTTTCTGGTATCAGCTCTGCGCGGCCTGCTGTCAGAGACTTCTCGGCAGGTAGCTACACGGCAAGCCTGGTTGGCGTGCTTCTCCGCAAACTGGGGCAACTGCGCCTTCCCACCAATAGAGTGCCCTCCCGCCTCTGACCAGGCCGCAACTACTGCGTCGACACTTGCTGCCGTCGAAATCGGGGCAGTGGGCATGCCTGACTGGCTCTTTGCGGAACTTCTGAGCCTCCCGTGTCGGTTAAAGCTCATCCACGTCAGTGAAGACTTCCTGTGCCCATGGGTGCCCACTGAGTCTGCGTGGGCCGCAATACGAGGTGTCCCAGGCATACGCGCTGGAGGCCTACATTGGTTGACCAACGTGCCAGCAGAGTTCTTTGGGCTCCAGTGCCATAACTATTCCCACCTCCTTCTCCGCGCTGGTCTCGCACTGCCTGCCCGAGTGGATGTTACTGTCGCACGCGCCTATCCAGTCAAAAGCAAGTCTTTCCCACTGGGGCGCGATGCTGCTTGCGACAGCTGCTGCTTGCTTTCGCAGCCGCGGAGGTTGCGAACTCTGGGCATCCAGCAACCATCGACGATGCGGCGGCTCATTCGATTCTGAAGGAGGGCAGGAATGTTTCGTCGCCCGCTGCCCAAGCGCAGTACTTATTTATGATGCCTACGGTGGACATGCGTGGTAGACGTGTGGGATAGCAATAGAGCTCACTGTCACAGCCACCGACGACCTTTATGAGAACATCGAGGCATCGGCGACTTGCATCATGGCCTTCCGAAGCAGGAAGCAGAATCAGCGATCACGTTGTGGCGTGCGCAGCCTTTGTTTACGATTTGGGATTGACTGTACGGTGTTGTGGTCCCCGCTCACAACTTCAACTGGGCTGGGGCTGGGACTGTTGTTCGCCTTGTTCCAGGATGGCTGGTGGCTGTCTCCTCCATTCGGATTCCTGCTGCTTCTCGATATCCTCCACATGCTGGTGGGACAGTTGGAGGGCAATGAAACGGATGCGTGAATTGCCAACCATCATCCTGCACAGGATTAGGATTGTCTGCCGCCTGAGCATTACTCTGCTGGACATGTTGCCATGATCTCCCCCACAATCATTCTGCCGGGTATGGTCTGATCCTGATTGTTATTTTTGATAATCTGCGTCCGCTAAACGACATGCTGCGGCTCCGCAACCGGGATAATGCGAAGAATCAGACCATGATGCTGCACGTGGCTTGAAGCCCTAAACCCTCGAACCCTGCTGTTAGTTGAATCGTCTTTGAACTTGGCTGGCCAGAAGCACCAGAGACACGACAAGAGTGGAGGAAAAGTGAGTGCCTTGAGCTCCTATCTATTCTCAACTTTTTCTTACATCTTCGTTAGCAGATACTAGAATTATCAGTGTTGAGCAGTTGAGCTAGCAGTTCCAGAAGTGCAGCAGCTTCAAGCAAAATGCGTCGACGTCCACACTTGTATACAGACATCGCATTACTGTCAGCCTGGGATCATAGTTAGTCGATTGTTCAAGACAGTTCATGGTGTGATCTATGGTTCAGGTGAAGCGGAGGCTTGCCGCAGAATGGCTCCAGTTTTGCGCATGCTCTAGTTCCTGTGCCTTTTGCTTGCCGGGGAGCCGAATGGAGTGCCGGGTCAGGGATGGGAAGATGTTCGTCACAATCCAGGACCCTGGAGCGTAGCAGTTCTGAATTTGGTTCGAAGGTTCAACTCAACGCCTCGGTATATATTTGCATCCTGCTCGTACCATCTTGACGCTTGTTTTTGCAGAGGCGATGGTTAGCTTGAGAAGAAGAGGAAGTACGCGGGATTGAAAGAAGCAACTTCTGTTCACATGGTGCCGGGTTCTTTAGGCCTTACTCCAAACCTCAAACCCTAAACCAGGACCCCTACCTCACGCCTGGAGCTCACAGCAGCGTCGTCGTCAGCTTCTCTTTCCTGACCGCCCTGCGCTTGGCCGGATTCTTCTTCCTCCTCTTCGCGATGTCCAAGCGGAAGCGGAAGCAGCCCTCTGACGCCTCGATGCATACCTCGCCCTTCCTATGAGATGGGTGGATAGGTGGTACTAGAAAACAGGGTTCTGTAGAGGATTCCAGATCTTTTTTGCTTTTTGGACAGTGTTTACCTTTGTCTTCCATACTTTTGTTGGAACACATTTGGCTGGATTGCGTTACAACAGTGCATGTGTACAGATGTGCGTTGGCCTGGACAGCAGCCTCTGGATGTGGACCGAATATTGCAGGCTGTTTAGTGAACGAAAGATTATGCACTGCGGGGAAGCGAAGCATGATACAAATCCTGCATTCGTTCAAGGACCCTAAACTATGGGAATTATGGTATATTCCTTATTATAGGTAGTATAAGGATTTGCCTCATCAACAGTATGACACATGCATCAGACAGAATCTCCTAGTTTGGCCATGGCCAAGTGTGAGATGCCGTGCAAGTGGCCAAAGCCCCTCGTTCTGAGGACGTGTGCTACTTGCTGTGGCTTTTCTTGGCTGCTACGGGCTATTGCCTCATAGCTGTGATGGCGTCGGTGGCAGTTGCCGGCGAGAGCGCAGCCACAAGTACCGCAAAGGCCGAGGAAAAGCCAAACGATGCAGAGAGATACAGAAGAAAGGAAAGAGAGAAACATGTCAACAGCGGCAAGGATGGCAACTGGTGCACTTGGACTCTCCATGCTTCCTTCCCCCCACCCAAATCTATCCACCTCCTGATCCTTCTAAAGCGATTCAATGGTATTCTTTTGCTCTAGGCGCAACTTCCTTCTATGCGTTTGAGAACATATCACGGACACATTTGTCTGCATGCATCAATCTTTTGGCGTTTGCGTTGTGACACCTGTATGTACCAACCTGTTCGGACCATCGTGTTTGCTTGCGCGCTACAACCTGCAACAAAGGACCGCCGGGAAACACACGCACCTGAGTCTCCGAAAGACCAGCATTCAGCCCGTAACCCACAGCTAGAAAGCTGTGTAAATTTTGTTGGATGCAAACCCTTCGAGACGTGCAAAACCAACAATCCAGACCTTGCTGCTAACACTAACACTATGCTCCACAAGGCCGCACCCAAATCCTCACAGCAGGCTCTTATCGTTCTATCCTGGGGCCCACTGATGCTGAGTGTCTCTAGCGCGCTGGAGGGAGTCTGGCCGCGACTTGGCAGCTTCCTAAGCCTTCCATTTACCCTCCTTCCCGCCATGAGATCTGCAGCACTTGCTACGAGGGGGCATGCTTCTATTTACGGCATGTATGGGTACAAAGAGGGTCCGTAAAACCCTGCAGCCCTAGGAACAAATGCCTGGCACGAACGGCTGCGGTTGTGTACATGCTCGCCGTCGCAAGCGGCGTGTGTCTCGGCAGCCAAGCATTGATGTAGTGTTGGAGTTTAGGGTGTGTCAGGATTTGGGGTTGTAAGGTTTAGGGTGATCTTGCCGGTCGTCCTGTCTGTTTGTTTGTTCCTTTTCTTTAGTCTTTGATGGTTGTTTCCTTTTTTTGTTGCGGAGGGGTCTTGAATCACTGAACCCCCGAGCCGCCCCGAATTGCAAACTATACGTTTACAGGGAAGCTACAGTTTTTAGGGGATTGTGTCCACTTCCCTAAACCCTAAACCCGAGCTTCTGCCAGCATCTGATGGAGCTCCACCGACAGGTACGAACTTGCCTCCAGAAGAACTCCGGTACTTGTGTTCTGGGAAGTACGCCCACAGCAGCAGGGAACTCCAGAAAGTAGGAATATGGTTTCAGGGTAGGATACCTTATCACGAAAGCTAGCTCTGTGGAGCTCGCGGGAGTTGCCCTTTAGCAATTCACTTGTATTAAGGCACTAGGGAAAAAAACATGGTTTGCACCTTATCAGGTGGCACGTCCAAGAGTTAAGGTGGGGGGTAGGGGGGGGGCCCCCCCCCCTTCACCTTGTCATTATGCGTTTTCCACTGATAAGGTGCGCTTCCCTCCCCCCCCTCCCCCCCTCCTTTAAGGTGGTTGTGCCTGGGATAAGGTGGGGGGGGGGGCCCCCCCCCCTATCATGAGGTCCCCCCCCCCCCCCCTCCTCAAGGTCCCTTGGTTTTGTTTGTGTCTGACGTTCGGCGACTGAAGTGCGGTCTTCTCTCCAGAGTTACCTCTAGTTGTCGTTCGCACATTACTTTTTGAAGAGTTAAATGAACGAGCAACGCCTGCACCCTTCACCGGCCCACACTTTCCCTCCGCTACTGTCGTGCACATCGCTTTGCAGAGCTCAGCACCGGACCTCGTGCTTCTAGCTTTCGTGACCAGCTCTCAAGTAATTTACCATAAAGGGCTTAGGATAATCATATTCCAACTTTCTGGCTTTTACTTTAGGGTTTGTTGTTCCTACGCCGGTACGGTTTGCTGGTTGACTACGGTTTCACCAGCTTCTGCACTGTTTCGATTTCTGTCGACGCCTTGGTGAACAGAGTTGATGCGTCCGTATCAGACGGATTCCGAATTCCCCAAACAGTGCCAACACTATGATTTGCTTACCCTCAGGGGTCCTTGGTGTGGTCTCTATTTACTGCCGGTACACCACCCAACGAATCGAAGTTGGCAATCGTGTTCCCACCACAGCGCCGTGTGTCATCCTTTTCCCGCCACAGTCCCGTGATTTCCGCATGGATTTCCGCCCTCGAAACCGCACTCCCTCCGCAGTCCTGTGATGTCCCGTGCGTGTTGAGGTCTTTCCACTTACTGCAACAACAGTCCCGCACATAGTTTGCATTTTGGAGGTGCTCCGTCGCTGTTCGGGGCATATGCTGGCTTACCTTTAACCTTACCTGTCTCCCTGTCTCCTTCTTACCCCGAGACTGTCCATTCGTAGCCGGCAGTGTGTGTCGGCCTCTTGCTGAGGATTGTGGTCATGATGTTCCCGCAGGACAACAACCAGGTCATGCTCCTGGTGTTCTCCGTATTGGCCTTCCTGCTTCCCATCGCCTGGTGCATCGTGCACAAGCATACGCAGGATACGCCTTTGGGAGAACTCTGGCATGCATAGCGGGAGTAACTCAGCTTGAGCCTAAAACCCCCCCAAAGCCCTAACCCGCCAAACCCCTAAAACCCTAAATCCCTAAACCGCCTAACCCCCTAAAACCCCTCAACCTCTAAACCATAAAACGAGGGCAAGAGCGCTGAGCCATGTCCAGATCTTCGTATATCCTTGAACAACGGAGTGAGCCTTGAGTTACACTGGGTTCGCGGACTGCAAGAGTGAGGCGAAACAAGGGAGCAAGGTGTGTGTGTAATAGGATCCCGAAAAATGTTTTACAGGGTATGACTTGATTACCTTCTACTTGCAGATCCGGGTACGCTCTGAAAATCCCAGCTCCTCCTCCAGCCAAGGAAAATCTCTTTCGGGCCCTTTTCGCTTTCACCTGCACCTCCGGATGTATTTGGATAGTAATAATTTATAATAGTAGTATTATCATGATAATACCAGTAGTGATACTAATTAATGATAATACTAATACTAATTAGGGGATAAAGGCCTCATTCAGGTTTAGGGCTGCAGTTCGCGGTTCAGGGCCCAGTGTGCAAGGTTAACGATTCAATCAGTGCCGCGACTGTACCTGTTACTGAGCTTGAATCAGAATGCGCTAAACCCTTAACCCTAAATCTTAAGCCGGAAACCCACAAACATGGGCAGCTCGAAGCCGAGGACGTCGAATTCCAGTTTATCCTTATCAGCCACACCATTCGAGCCCGCAGAAAGATCCGAAACCCACCCCCCAAGCTAAACCTTGGATGCGGGATGCCTACACCGACGTGTACTAAACCTGGAACCTCACCAAAGTCCGAAATCGATTTGTGCACTGGAACCAAAGCCCACAATTTTCAAAAAGGAATCGAACGAAGCGAGACCCCCCGAATGCACCCAAGCCCCAAGCTACGAAACCTAAACCCACGCCCAGCAAGATCGAAATCCTGGTCATGTCTCAACCTCATGCACCATACAGTCCCGTTGTACAGTCCCTCCTATCACTGTGACAAAAGCATGGCAGCAGTAGCAGCCAAGATTCCGTAATTAAGGAATATACCTCAAATGATATTAGGCATCCTACTATAATTTAAGCCATACATCAGCAGGATGAAAGTTTTGTCGCACTAAGATGTCTTTGCTTGGCGGAGGACTCGGAGTACGAAGAAGTGCATTTTACGTGGCCTGGCTAGCGGAGGAATTTCCATGCCAAAATAAACATACACTGTTTTTTTGTTCCGACGGAGGAATTAGTGAGGTCCGGGCCTGACATTGCGACTTCGTGAAGGAGTCTATGCGGGAAAGGGGTTGGCAACTGTGGGTTAGCAGACCTACCTGATGCGACGAACTTTCGTCCTGGCGCAGCATGAATTCCAAGACCGCTAGTTCGGCCAGGCCAGCATGTGTTTTAGTCGCGGGTGAGCAGCATGAATTCCAAGACCGCTAGTTCGGCCATGCCAGCCTGTGTGAAACCCGGAAAGCGACACACGGAGGACGTTTTTTTGACGGGTGCCGACTCGTTTTTCGTCGCGGGTGAGCAGCATGAATTCCAAGACCGCTAGTCGGCCAGGCCAGCATGTGTGAAACCCGCAAAGCGACACACGGAGGAGGTTTTTTGGACGGGTGCCTACTCGTTTTTAGTCGCGGGTGAGCATCAGCAGGATGAAAGTTTTGTCGCACTAAGATGTCTTTGCTTGGCGGAGGACTCGGAGTACGAAGAAGTGCATTTTACGTGGCCTGGCTAGCGGAGGAATTTCCATGCCAAAATAAACATACACTGTTTTTTGTTCCGACGGAGGAATTAGTGAGGTCCGGGCCTGACATTGCGACTTCGTGAAGGAGTCTATGCGGGAAAGGGGTTGGCAACTGTGGGTTAGCAGACCTACCTGATGCGACGAACTTTCGTCCTGGCGCAGCATGAATTCCAAGACCGCTAGTTCGGCCAGGCCAGCATGTGTTTTAGTCGCGGGTGAGCAGCATGAATTCCAAGACCGCTAGTTCGGCCATGCCAGCCTGTGTGAAACCCGGAAAGCGACACACGGAGGACGTTTTTTTGACGGGTGCCGACTCGTTTTTCGTCGCGGGTGAGCAGCATGAATTCCAAGACCGCTAGTCGGCCAGGCCAGCATGTGTGAAACCCGCAAAGCGACACACGGAGGAGGTTTTTTGGACGGGTGCCTACTCGTTTTTAGTCGCGGGTGAGCATCAGCAGGATGAAAGTATTGTCGCACTAAGATGTCTTTGCTTGGCGGAGGACTCGGAGTACGAAGAAGTGCATTTTACTTGGCCTGGCTGGCGGAGGAATTTCCATGCCAAAATAAACATACACTGTTTTTTTGTTCCGACGGAGGAATTAGTGAGGTCCGGGCCTGACATTGCGACTTCGTGAAAGAGTCTATGCGGGAAAGGGGTTGGCAACTGTGGGATAGCAGACCTACCTGACGCGACGAACTTTCGTCCTGGCGCAGTATTCCTCAATTAAGGATCAAGTCCCTCACAAACCTTTACAAAGCCCCAGGCCCTAAACCCAGGTAGTATAGGAATTCTAACTCTTCTGCAGTTCGAAAAGGCCCCCCCCCCAAAAAAAAAAAAAAAACAATCCCAGGCGGTGCAGGGGCCGCCTTGGTGGGCTCCTCCGAAGCCGGCTGCGGATTCACAGGCCACGTGGACTGCTACGAGCGCTGCTGGATGAGCCCTGCAGGGGGGTCGTGCCTCTACTCCTTTTCAAAGGGACGATAACTGGGATCTTGTGGCGAAGGCTCTCAGAGACAGATTTTGTTGGGGATCCTGATATGAATGGGGCTTAGGACTCAGGGGCAGGGTTATTTGAGATTGGAAGATCCGAAGCGGTAGTTCTAGGGCGTAGGATTCAAGACTAAGGGGGTTTGAAGTAAGTGGTTTTTAACGGTTTTAGGATTCAAAACTAAGGGGCTTGAAGTAGGTGGTTTTTCGGGTTTTGAGGAGACTGCCTGCTTTTGGGCTTCAGGTAGGGAGCCCCCTTGCCTGTGCTAGGGAGGGTGCCGGATCTGACGGTTAGAATCATACTACTAATACTAATAAGACTAATACAATACTGATAGTACTATACTAATAACAATAATATTAACACTAGTAAGACCAATAATATTAATACTTTTCTGTCATGAGTCATGTCATGAGGGACCTCCTTCAGGGGCTTTGCTTGCACAGCTTTGCCTAAGCGCGTTGAGGATGGGGGTTGCCAGGGTAGGGCTGCCCCTAAAAAGCGAGATCCCAAGACTGACCCCGGCCCTGAACCCCTGAACCCAGAAAGCCCAATACCCCTTGCTTAGGGCCATATACCTTAAATTATAAGGGTCTTCACATTATGGTTTATTAGGGGTATTGGGCTCTCTGGGAGCCCTGAACCGAGTCTGTTGATCTTCACCTGCCTGGACCTCATCGCAGTCTTCGGGCTGACGGCCTTCCAAGTGTGCAAGCCGGAGGTGTGGGGCTTCTCTTGCCTGCGCAAACCGTCCGTTCCGGACCCTCCGTCGACGACGGCATGAGCACCCTCCCTCCCTGGTGACGCATTCAGGCGGGGGGGTTGGGGGATCGTCTCCTCTAAGAGTGTAGTCTCCCCAGCCTCCCTGGCTGTCTGGCAGCCAAGTACCGGGGAGTAATTTCGGTTCCGAGGCAGCTGATGCTTCCATTTTTTGCCAGCCCCGAGCATCCCAAGAAAGTCCTTCCCCCAGAAGATCCACAGAAACATAGTGCTACCATGGAAAGTACTCATTTGAGCAGACAATGGGGGGAAGGGGTGAGGCTCCAGGTGTAGAACTTGAAGTTACGCCGGGAAGTCTCCCTGGTTGAGTCACTTGATTCGGAGGACTGTCGGAGGGGTTCCCAACACGGTGTGGCAGAAGAAATGGGGTTGGGGCCGTTTTGAAGGAAGACCTTCGAGTTGATGAAACTTGGTGCCGGGGTTCTGGCACAGTTTCACGTCCAACGTTCTATTGTGCGAAGCACACCATGGACCAGAGGGCGACAGGTGATGGGAAAAAGGATTCAAGATGTCATCAAGCTCCACCTGAGCAAGCCTCGTGGTGTAGGAGAGTGTTTTTTACTGCCTAAGCAGTTGGGAATGTTCATCAGAGGCTGGCATGATGGCCTTGTTGGGGGGTTCCGGCTCGCAGAATCCGATTCATCATGTGCGAAGCCCTGGGCCTTGGGCCTTTTCACTGAAATCGCAAGAACCCGAAGCCCAAATCCGTCGAATCTCAAGCCTGGGCTTAACACCCCCTGATATGCTTCGTGTTGTCATGTTCAAGGTGAGATACTTTGCAGTCCCGCATCTCTCCCCATGAAGGGGACATGCCACATATAGGGCAGGCTCTTCAACGTTCTCTCACCTTGCTGCTGTTGAGCCTCAAGCCGCTGAGCAGGGTGCACCTCAGCTCATGTCGATGCTGCAGGGGCCTCCGGGCGTCCCTGGTGACTTCTATCCCCCGATCGACAGAGCCGATGCCCTGCATGCGGCTGTGCTTCTGGTGCTGCTACCAGGCTCACTGGGAGTTACCCTTGCAGCTGGCCTCCGCTTCTGCTCTGGGCAAGACGAGTCGAACAAAAGGGATTTCGGCAGGTTGCTGTGCGCCTACGGCACGTTGCTGGCAGGGGCCATGCTGCAACCGGTGGTGTGGGCTGTGGCCCTTTACCTGCCCACCCCCTGGACAAACGGCCTGGCTGTAGGGCTGCAAGCAGCTAACGTCACGTTTGTGGCAACTTGGTCCGCAGTAGCATGCAGGAGGTTGGTTTCAGCAACTGTGTCAGAAGCTTCTGCCAGCCAAGGTCTTTGTACCCCCTTACTTCTTCTACGTCTTCCTCCAGGTGTGTCTTGTTCGCGGACACACTGCAGAGCCCTGGTTCGCACGAGTTCTGCGGGCGGTTTGTGCTTTGAGTGCTGCGCTTCTCTTACTTTTCGTGGCCAGGTGGCAGTTTGGGAAACTTTACAATGTCCCCTATGGCCTATAGAGGTGCTATTCATAAATACTTTGATTCAAGGTCCCCAAAACTTGAACCCTAAGCCCTAAACCCTAAACTCCCAAACCTCTAAACCCTAAACCCCAAATCCCTAAACCCCTAAACCTCTAAACCTTAAACCCTAAAAAATAAACCCCTAAACCTCTAAACCCTAAGCCCTAAAAAATAAACCCCTAAACCTCTAAACCCTAAACCCTAAACCCCCCCAAAATAAACCCCTAAACCTCTAAACCCAGGTAACCTTAGCAGCACTTTGCGGAGCTGCTCCCGGCCTCACTTGGTCAGTTCTCTGCTCGGGGGACTTGGATTTCCTTCTGGAGCCTTCGTGGGGGGGTTTAGGGGGTTTTAGGGGTTTTAGGCGGGTTTAAAGGGGTTAAGGGGGTTTAGGGGGTTTAGGGGGTTTAGGGGGTTTAGGGGGTTTAGGGGGTTTAGGGGGGGTTTAGGGGGTTTTAGAGTCGAGGGTTCCTTTAAAGGTTCCTAGAAGGAGTACAAGAAGGGATCCGCAAGGGTGCTACAAGGAACCATATTGATTTGCTTTTGAGTGGAGCCGGAAACCGTATAGAAGCCACAACACCCAAAGGCCCACCCTTAGCTCCTTGAGGGAAACTGGACAAAGTTAGGAGCAGTTGCGGCGACACACCGGCGCCACGGAGAACGAGCTCTGTGCGCGGCACTTTGCCAACCGCAGCATTTTGGAGTGCGAGAGCATCTCCAGAAGTGACGTCGTCACCGAAGAGACCGGGCCGGCTTGCTTCGCATGGTGTCGCGTGGCCGACTGCTTCCTTCCCATGTTTCCTTTTCTACCGGGATATTGCCTCAAGTCCGAGATCTGGCAAGCCGTTCAGGTCGGTGGACCTGGCTGGCTGCTGCCGTCCCTTGCGGCCTTCGCCTATGGCTGCATCGGCTGGTACCGGCTCTTTTCCGCCTGGCAGGGTTTCCCCAAAACGCCGAAGAACGGCTACAAGGCAGCTTCTGGGAGCGACGGCAAGGAGGTCGCGCTCTGCTCCGGGCCGAGGGCAGGAGGCTTCTGCCCAGAGGGACCCTACCACGCCCCGGACTTCCCCGATCTTTTGGAGATGCTCTGCAAGAGTCTAAGCGAGAACGACTTGCAAGCCGAGCGCTGGAGTATGAAGCTTGCTCTGGCTGTGGCCAGCCTCTTACCTTTGGTTAGTATTGAATGGAGGAATGGAGTACAGTTATAACTACTACTACTACCATTCTTCCAGTACCTACTAATTAACCGATGGTAAGGCCTTGATCCGGCCATGGACATCTACTCGGCCCTCAGCCTCTATGCAAGGGGCCAGCCCTACTACGGCTCTGCGCTGCTCCTCGCCGCCTTGTTGCCAAACCTGGCCGACATCTTTCAAGCCCGGTGCCTTGGATTTGAAGCCCCCAAAAACCCCAAACGGCCCTCAACGCCCCTAAACCCCAAAGCCTGAAACGGAGCAACGGAGAAGAGAGGCACGGAGAGGAGATGGTGGCGTCGCTCCGGCGGGGCTTTGCCACAATGGATCTTCTGAAGCACCAGGCCCGGGAGGGATACTGGGAGGGCACGGTCTCCGCTCTGGTGGCGATCTGCGCCTTGATGTATACGCCGACGCTGACTTCGCTGGACCTCTTCTCCCTAAGCTTCAACGTCCTCAGCTCCGTGGTGCTGAGCATTCCGAACGGCCTGAAGGCCGAAGCCTTGTTGGAGCTGGGCGAAGAGGCCGGGTACTACGAGAGGGTGCGGCGGAAGCGCGCCATGGACGCCTACGAGAAGTGGGGTCGGAGCCTTCAGGTTCTGATCTTCGGGCCCTTGATCGCGGCTTGCGTGGCCCTCCGTGGGCAGCTCTTCCCACCCACGGATGAATCGGAGCATGGGCTCTGCTTCTTGGCTGCTTGCGCTCTCCTCTTCTGCCTCTTTGCCGAGGGAGCCGGGCACCGGGCAACGGATGGCCTGAAGCTCTTGAGCTGCCTCTGTGCGCTGGGCTTTTGGGCCCTTTTCTGGCAGGAGTTCGAAGGAGAGGCGGTCGCCAAGCTACGACTTCTGATGGGCTGCTTGTTGGCGAACGTTGCCGCTGTGGCCTTCGGAGCTCTTTGTTTCAGGCACCGTCGCCGCAATTCCGAGGACGAGGATGATGATGAGCCTTCTGAGTGCAGCCCTTCGGGTGCAGCCGACAGCAGCACCGAGTGAGTGACTTTTGTTCTTGGACTCTCTCCCTCTTTCTGTTACCACTCACGAGCTCGCGGTCCACAGGAGAGATACGCTGCTCTCCAAGGTCATGGGCCTTCTGGACTACATCAGACACACAGACACACACGCAACACACACTGCAATATTTACCGACCAGATCTGCTCATGCGACAGAACGACCAGAGGACCAGACAGGCAGATGGAGACCAAGGACCGGCCGCTCAGCCTGAAGCTGAAGTGGACAATCGCTATCACTCTGCGAGGTGAGATAGGGTCGCCAGATCAGCTTCTCCTTCCCGGGCGGTTCTCCGTTGCAAAGCATCGTGTCTTTGGCATCGGTTCTGAGGGCCGAACAGCCAAAACGGCGGGGTCACCAAAACCCTGCGACGCCGGAAGTTTCGAAGCCCAAAAAGCCTCGACGACCGAGCTCAAAAACCCCAAAAACCCATGATCCGAAACCCAAAAACCCATGATCCGAAGCTTTTACTGGCCTATTCGCGCCTGCAGAGGAGATCTCGGTGGAAGGTGTAAGCATACTGGGCTGAGTTCGCTCCGGCTTCGCCAGGTTGAGCATCGGAAGGGTTAGCTCGACGAGCCAGATCCCACTAAACCCTAGCATAGGGCCTTCATAATCACCTATTTCATTCCTGAGGGTTCCTTTTTATACCCATGCTATAAAGGAGCCCAGAGCCCTGTTCTAATTATTAAGGCTCCTATATTAAATCCCACACTCCTTGGTCTCCGATGGCATCGCCCTTGTCGGAAATTGGGTATGACATTAGATGACTTCGTAACATCGAATCTGCACCTCGGCTGCCATCGGGACTTGTAACGAGATGTCGTTTCAGGGGAGGCAGCTGAATCTGTATGAATTACCAGCTTTCAGTTCTGTGCTTCGTCCAACACTTGCTTAACTCTTCAGCTTCAACTCCAGAATGCTTCGTTTAGGTCCCGCACGCTCTGAAATTGTTTTTCTCTGTCGTGCAATGTTTGTTCTGCCATTACGGTTGGCCGCAACTCCCACTCATTGGCTCATTGGCGTTTACCCACTCTGAGGGAAAGCAAGTCTTGCTGTAGCCAAAGTGACATCCTTCCAAGCTCAGCGGAAGCCATGATTCGGGCATTGTCTTTGCTGCTGCTGGCTTGGACATCTGGCCGCCAGTGGGGTCTCGTGTTAATCCCCTCTATGCTAAACGGCTGGGCCCTAAAGCGGCCCCCCAGAAAGCCCAAAACCTTAGAAACGGGAACCCACCGACCTATCAAACCTCAAACTCAGGACAAGGCACTCCATGGCACGCGAGTCGCAGTGTCCAAAAGGCTTGTCTTTGTTGGCAAAGAGGAGTTTGGGCAGGGGCTGGTATGAAAGCACAGTTGAAGTTGGAAGGTTCTCTCATATCGAAGCGGATGAACCTGTTGATCCCTTTGCTTGCTGGCGTGGCTCCTTTTCGCAGCAGTCGCAATGGCATCTAGTGATAGCTTCGCAAACAGGGTTTGCATGACGTCTGTTTGTATTGACGAGCTTGATGCATGACGGGAGCGCGGCCGTCTTGAGCTGTATCACGGCATCCGTTTGCCATCGTTTGCCTTATGTGCTCCCATCCCTTCGCCAGGAGCTTCTTGCACAAGGCCCTCCGCCGCAAGGCGCAGAGCGACTTCTTCTGGTTCTGGGTGTGCGAGGGAGTTGAAATCGACGGCCTTCTGCAAGAGGGTTCGGCCCAAAGCACTGTGCGGGACTTGAAGGAGAAGGCATCGAGCAACCCAGTGTGCACACATCAGGGATGCGACCCGGATGATTGCAGGTTCAAGCATGGTGAATGTGTTCCAAATGCCGGCAACTGCCTGTACACAACCCCCTCGCCCGCGGGTGCCAATGCAAGCGGCTGTGGGAGCTACAGCTGCCATTGCGTCACCGTGCCACCCGGGCAATGCACCGAAGAGGCCTTGCCAGGCTACCACATCGTCCAGAACGGTGCGGTGAACTTGATGACGGGTCCCAGCCGCTGGAACGACAGCGAAATAGACCACCGGGTGTGGGAGGAGGTGGGAGGTCCCGGAAACCATGCCTGCCGTGGAGATAACAGCTCCGACAACGACCCCAAGCACTACCAGGTTTTCAATGACATCTATTCTTTGTCGGGATAGTGTGAAGCTACCATGGACTGCGTAGGGATCGAATACAGCTATGGCCGTTGCGAGATTTGGACACGTTTCCATGGGTTGTATGCCGTTCGGGAGATCCTCGGCAGTCGGAATGGATGAATCATCCTGGTTCTCGTCCTAAGGACTTTGATTAAGTTACAATAATAAGGAACCATCCTGGTTCTTGTTAAGGATTTTAATTAAGTTAACATAACAAAGGAAACCCTATGATTCACTATAGATTCTCATCATGGCAGCTTGTTTGCATTCCGCGCACTGCCAGGAGTCGTCCTGGGCCTTGCTGCTCTTCCTTCTACAGTAGAAACCCAAAAGTTGGAAACCCAAGAGCCTCAATCCTTAAGAGTAATGTATAGGGAATCCCGGCCTTAATCCGGTTTCCAACTTTATGGGGTTTACTGTAGTCTTATTACTCCGACGACAGCAGGCCGCGAGTAGAAGGGCTAGGTCTTCGGCTATGTCTACGGCTACTGCTACCGCTACTGCTACTGTTTCCACTGCTATTGCTACTGCTACTGCTTCTACCACTACGACGACGACTGCTGCTGCTATTGTTAAAGTTACGGTCATCATGAAGACTGCTCTCAGTGCGTTTTCGGTCGCGCATAATAATTGTCAAAAATGCCAGTGCAGCACACTAGATGCAGTGCCCCTCTTGATCAAAGTAGCTGCTAAGTAGCTCGAGCACCGACAGCCACTGTTTGTTTCAAGCGGTGCTTTTCCCGCATTCAAAGCCTTCTTGCTTGTGAGGATCCCGACGGAGATTGGCGAGTTCACGTGCATGCGCTATGGATGGCCCGTCAGCAAGCTGAAACCCGTGGACATCCAAGGAAATGCTTCCCATCCTTGCAGAGGGCGATCGCCAAATGATAACTCGGGAGAGAATTACTATTTGGCTCGCAAGAGCAACGCTCTGAGCATCTTGCCTTGCAAAATGCTGGGCTACAAATGCTATAGGTGGTAGACATGCCATGTCATTCGGGTGGCCAAGACTTGGGCTTAACGGGTCGGAGTGACTGGTGTGTTATCTCTGCAAAGGACGCTATTTGCATCTCCCTCCCTCTCTCTCTCTCTCTCTCTCTCTCTCTCTCTCTCTCTCTCTCTCTCTCTTTCTGTTTTCCAGTCTTTCAATACAGCATGCCGTTCGTACTCTCTCACTGACGCACTATGTCCACTCCTCTATCTCGCTGTCATGGAACATAGCTCGGGTGTGGTGTTTGCATTGCAGATGTAATGCAAACGGTATCCACCATGGAGCGTGCAGCATGCTAGGATCGCGCAGCAGAGCCTAGTGCAGCCGCCATCTATCCTGACATGAAGCACACATGATCTGTTAGTAGGAGTTTGGGACTGTAGTTTAAAGCTTGCGCAGTATTTTGAGATGCCTTGTATTGGTAGTGTATCTTTCCACAGTCTGGTGTGAAGTCTAAGAACGGGCAGGCACAGAATTGAGCCGCGGAAATGAAACCCCCAACCCTCAGCCCCTAACGAGGTGATGGTGTTGACTCGAGAAGGCCAAGTGGCTATCTTGCATTGCATTGTCACGAACCCTTTCCTCAAACGTAGACCCTACTCCAAAAACTCGAAACTCTACGAAACTCTATGGTCACTCATCAGGGTTCAGTGCCCCCCCGCCCCCCCAGGTTTTCGCGACATTGAGGAGTGCAAGGCCATGTGCTCAGCCACCGCTCGGTGGGAGTTTAACCGTCGTTGCACGGGCATCGAGTGGTCGCCTGGTCGCTGCGAGCTCTGGCAGGCCGGACCATAGATTCCTAGATCCAAAAATCTGGGTAGTTCTCTAAATCAGGGTCCGTTTTGGAGTCCTTGTCATAAGGGTGCCGTACTCAACAGGGACCCGAATTTAGAGAACTAGCCTTGTACTTGGGGGTTGAAGGGTCAGCGTTTTGGGTTCAGGGAAGTCTAGGGCATTAGGACCAGGAGTTGACTCGATGCAAGGACATGCAGGCTTGAACCATCTGTGAGTTTCCGAAAACAGGAAACCCTCATATAGTAATAGTACCCTGAATAGGATCCTTCGTATAAGGACCCAAAATAGGATACCCTAATTTTCGGAAATTCCCATTTCAGGTGATGATTGAAGCTGTGAACCCGGCCGTCAGTGGCTACTCCTGCCTCAACATGACAACTTAGTGGAAGCCATGTGTGGACAGCCTGTCACTGGATGTGACGGTTCCGATACATCCAGTACTAAAATTCAGTGGGAGGATGAGGCCGACAAGCTGCCTCTACACTCCATTTTGCCTTCATCGCAATGTAAGCAAAGCTTGCTTTGGCACCTCCAGGTGCTTTCGATTTGACTTGCCGCGGCAGCTGTGCAACTACAGGATTTTCAATCTTGCACAGCCTAGCTGGACTGAAGATGCATGGAGCAGCTCTTGTGTGCCACCAGTGCCACGATGCTACTCCTGCTCTTAATCCGAAAGCTTGTGACGACTTGTCCAAGGAGCCCGGACGGGCTCAAAGACATCAGCCTGGGACTGTTCTACCTGGGATTTCTGTTATGATCACAGTGCTCATGTAAGATGTCTTCAAGCTGTCGTTTGCCCCATGTTTCTGCAAATTTGTTGCAGATCTTTTTTGTTGCCTCTTTGTCTTCTGAGGGTCGAGTGCGGATGAGGTGATGTGATGGATATTTCAAGCTGCTGCAGGCACATGTGGCTCAAACCACAGGAGCCTCATCCGTCCCGGCATCTGCCAAACACATCACTTTTCATTCACGATGCGGTTCTGGTGGCTGGCCCTCTCCAGCCTTACCAGCCAGGGCATTCGCGTGCAGGAAAGCGAGGGTCTGCAGCGCTTGGTGGGGAATTGCATTCAACCTTGGCTACCAGATGAGACCGCCTGCTCCGCCCGAAGCATGAGAGAGATGCCAAGCCTCCCTGAGGATGCAGTGTACACAGTGGAGTATGCCAGTTCTCCAATCAGCAGCAACGGCCTCAAGTCCCTGTCCCAGCTCCTCTCCTTCACCCACTCTGCCCTGGTCATCACAGAGGCCTGGCAGACCTCGGCCGAGCAGACTGTTCCCTCCGCCTTGCTCTTCGAGTACTTCGCTCGAGACTTTGGTCCGAAAGCCATCCTCCCCGCTTCCATCTCGGAGGGAGGCGTCCCCATGTGGGAGAACCAGGCGGTGGTGGGCTGGCGCCTCGCTTCAGACAAAGCGGAGTGGTTGCAGGGTGCGAATAGGACCGCCGTAGGCACAGCCACTGGAAAGATCTTGAACCAGTGGTTCAGGGAGGTGGTCTTGTGGGGGAAAAGGCATCCTGGCTACAACCTTTTCAACTTGTGGGATTCTACCGATGCGGCGACACGGAAGTCGTACATGGGAGACAGCGTCTGCCACTCTTTCACGGAGTGGAGCTTGCAAGACCTCTTCCGGCTTGGAGCCGACTTTTTGGTTCAGAGGCCATTGTGCCGCAACTACTTCTCTTTCATCACAGACGAGAGTCCGACGAAGCTCAACTTGACGACTCGGGCGGACTCGCAGACCGTCGCGGAGTTCTACAAACGCCTCGAGCCACTGACCTCCCAGAGCTTTCGTGACATCGCAGAGTTCGCGTCGAACCTTCTCAGCGTGATAAAAGGCGAGACCTGGGAGAGCAGCTGGGTTCTTCTTAAAGGATTGAACTGAAGTTACCATAATGCGGGAAAGCATATTATTTACCATAGCTATGTTATTTGCGGCATATGACTTTCTAAAGATCCCTATTGTGGTAGCTGGTAGCTGAAATTACATTCCTTAGCAAGAGCCCAGGCAGAGGGCAGGCAGCAGCAGCAGCGGCAGCAGCGAACAGCGCCGTGAGCTCTCGGAGGCCCGAACCCAGAGCCTACCTTAAATCATAATAGGATCCCTAATATAATTTAAGGTATATATTCCTTAAGGATACAAAAATAGTTTAAGGTATATTCCTGAAGGATACTATTATGAATTAAGGAATTTTCCTTAATTAAGAGCTCTCGGAGGCCCGAAGTCGTCCTCTTCCAACGTGGCCTGGAGGACTCTGGGGGCGGAGAGTGCCGGGGCAGCCTTAGTGGGTTTACAGTAGGGTTTAGGGGCTTTAGGGGGTGTAGGGTTTGGGGTACTTTACGCTCCCTTTTTCCTAGGAAGCTGGGGAAGTAAGGTACTTCCGTGCAGATCTGGTGAAGCCCTACTTCGGAGTGCAGCCGCGTCAGCTGGCTCAGAGAATGATCTTGCCGTGGCAAAATATCCCAACGAACATCGATGGCGAGTGTGAAAGCCAAATCTTGAGGACTTTAACGCCGTGGTGAAGTCTGCTGAAGGATCTCGGGGCTGAGAGATGCCTCGACCCTAAAACTGCGCGACCCATGAACAAAAGTCCATCGCGTCGCAGGCAGAGTAGATGGGCTGAGAGACACCTCGCAGTCCAATGCATGTTACATACTGTTGATGGACAAAATCCTGCATGACTCTCAGGACTCTAACCTATGGGAACTATGGTATATTCCTTATAATGGGTAATGCAGGATTCTGTCCATCAACAGTAGCACCAGAACGAAGCCTCGGGAATTCCTTATTGCTTGCAGTCTCTTCTGCCTGTGGCTTTCATTGGCTCAAAGGGCTCTGCCCGAGCCTGTGGGCGTGCAGATGCTGTCTCCCCATATGCAAACCGCACCCTGCCTGCATTCATGGGCTTGTCACTATTGGCAATACCGGTAAAATTGAAAACAGTCGCAATCATAATGATGATGCTAGTAATGGTCGCCAAAACAATGGTGGTAATAATACTGATTGATATATTGGTCGCCAGAACAATGATACTAAAAATAATACTGATGGACATACCGGTCGCAAAAAATGACGGTAATGACGGTAGCAATCGTAGCGGCCCCGGCATCCTGAGTTGGGGAGTCGAGCCTGGAAGCCTCGCGTTTGTCCCCGCTCTAAGCCCCTAAACCCTGAACCTTAAAGTCCTGAAGCCTTAAAATCCTAAACCCTAAAGCCTAAAACCCTAAACCCTAAAGCCTAAACCCTAAACCCTAGACCCCAAACCCTAAAGCCTAAACTCCAAGACCCTGAAGATCGCGTGGGCTCAACGCATCTTGCTTCCTGGGTCTGTCCCGAGGCATACGGTGGAAGCCCGAAGCGCCTGGGCCAAGGCATGACCGAGTGTGTGATACTGTTGATGGACAAAATCCTGCATTACCCATTTAAGGAATATACCATAATTCCCATAGTTTAGAGTCCTTAAGGTAATGCAGGATTTTGTCCATCAGCAGTATAGGGGCCGTAAACTCTAAACCCTAAATCATTGGCAATGCTATTCCTTCGGGCTCTTCATGTTCACTATACTCGGATAGAAAGACCCCAAAGCCCTTTTCTGATCTCAAACATGACTTACTGTGATATCGGGTGAGTGGGCCTGCTCGTTTAGACTCCACGGGCCACCCGTCGCAGGTCGCCTTGAGACGGATGACATGAGTCGCCGTCAAGACGATTGGGAGCGGGAAATCGAGACCCTGGACCAGAAGGCTGTAGTTCAGGGTTTAGGGGTCTAGGGGTTTAGGGGGTTTAGGGGTTTGGGGGTTTAGGGGTTTAGGGGTTTAGGGGGTTTAGGGGTTTGGGGGTTTAGGAGTTTAGGGGTTTGGGGGTTTGGGGGTTTGGGGGTTTAGGGGTTTAGGGTTTAGAGTTTGATTAGGGCAGGGTTTCGGCAACATGGGGATGTTCTAGCCCGGAACTGCATGTAACAGCAGTTTACACAACGGTAGGCGGTGATTGGAAAGGAGGACGCGCAGCGACGAGCATCGATTAGTGCCAGGAGCCGTAAGTGGTAGTGGTGGTACTTTTCCATAGCAACTAGTAGCGATACCGCTAGAAGCAGCTGGAATTAGTACAGGACTAGTGCTTGATACCGCCTCCAAGGAGCACCTACCAATCTTGCTGTGTGCTACATTCTGCCTACTCGTTGTGTTCCGCATACAACATGTACCATCTCCTCCTTCTCATCATCATTACCATCACCACGGTCATCATTATATGTTCGTGGCAACCAAAATCATTGCCGTCACCACCACTTCCCAAGCTCCCCAGCTCCAGCAACCCTGAATGCTAAAACCGTATATTGCCAGCTTCTGCACAGGAAATGGAACTGCACCAGTCGCAGTTGCGGCTGATCCGCGAGCAGACTGCCATGTTCATTCGAGACCTCTCTGTTCTACAGGGGGAGGCCAGGCCCACCCAACTCTCATTGGCATGAAGAAGTAACCTCCACACGCAAGAAGTCTGAGAAGCATTGTTCAAACACGCCGAGTTAGCCTTCGCATCAGGTGACCGCCCTGAAGGAAGGATTGAGTGGCTCCTTGGCGCCGCATTCCCCGCTGCAAAACGACTTCAAGGAGCAGAAGGCGGGGTTTGTTCCTGTGTCCTGTCGCCACAACAGCCTAAACCCTGAACTCCGCATTCAGCTTCACGAACTGCATGATTCGCCGTAGATCTTAGGATTTCTGGCCTGATGTACTACACCCCTCTTTCTTGGGATTCTGGTAGGGGTCCTGATCTTCCTACCCTCCAAGAACGGCGGGGGGTTCATGAGTCAGGGGTCTGCATCAGGGTCCATGGTTTGGCGTCCTTAGGGTTCGAGGAAAAGGGGACTTAGTAAGTAGGTTATAAGTAGAGGTTTAGGTACCCTAACTGGAGTTACCCCAACTACAACCCTAAACCTAGACCTAAACCCTAAACCCTAAACCTAAACCCTAAAACCCTAAACCCTAAACCCTAAATCCTAAAACTTAAACCTACTTATAACCGACTTACTAAGTCCCCTGGCCCTCTAAGCGTTTCGAGGCCAAGCTGCTGTCCCAGGAGCAGCTCACCGTGTCCCTGCAGAAGCGTGCGGATCCCAGGGTTTAGGAAGTTTAGGGTTTAGGCGGTTTAGGGTTTAGGGTTTAGGGTTTTGGGTTTAGGAATTTAGGAGTTTAGGAATTTAGGTTTTAGGGGTTAGGGTTTCGGATTTAGGGTTTAGGGTCTAGGGTTCATTGTAGGAACCTACAAAAAAGTAGGTGATGGGGATCCTGATACAGGTGGAAAAAGGAGTTCAGAACCACAATGCATTACAGCACCGGAATTCTTAAACCTTCAAGAACCCCGGACCCGGAAAAGCCCCGCACCCTAATCCCAAAACTTCAGCCCTGAAGAACCCTGAGCCGTAATATAGGGGCCTTGGTAAGTACCTCTACTATTTTGGGGGTTCCTGAAAAATAATAGTTGTGGTAGAATAGTTATGGTATAATATACCCCAAGGTCCAAGCCAAAATATTATGGTCAGAGTATTATGGAACCCTTATAGTGCCCTTATAGTAGCCCGTATAGTAACCCCGTTTAAAGGAACCCTCTACCCTGTTCTGGTTATTAAGGCCCCTATACCAAAACCCTTGCTTCGCTCTCGCAAGGTGCGTGGTGCTTAGTAGGGAACCAGACAGTATAGTACCCCTATAGATCCCTTATAAACCCTAAACCCTAACCCCTAAAAAAGCGCCCTAACCCCTAAACCCTTTTAAAGGACCCCTTCAACATTCCCCACTAAGAACCAGACAGTCGAGGTGTCGACTTCCTGGAGAGGTTGCTGGGCGAGTCGGTAGACCGCCATGCGCAGGAGATGTTTAGGGTTTAGGGGGTTGGGGTTTAGGGTTTAGGGCTTGGGGTTTAAGGTTTAGGGTTTAGGGTTTGGGTTTAAGGTTTAGGGGTTGGGGTTTGGCGTTTGGGGTTCGGGTTTAGGTTTAGGGTTTGGGGTTTAAGGTTTAGGGGTTGGGGTTTGGCGTTTAAGGTTTAGGGATTGGGGTTTGGGGTTTAGGGGTTGGGGGTTGAGGTTTAAGGTTAAGGGTTTAGGGTTTGGGGTTTAAGGTTTAGGGATTGGGGTTTAATGTGTGGGGTTTAGAGGGTAGGGTTTGGGGTTTAAGGTTTAGGGGTTGGGTTCAAGGCTTGGGGTTCAGGATTTAATTTTTGAGGTTTTGGGTTTGGTGTTTAAGGGATCCGGGGGTCAGGGCTTTGGGGCTTCAGGCCGTTGCGGTTTGGGGAGGGGCTTAGCGTTTGGGCTTTGGGAGTTTAGGTTTCGCGGTTCATCGGGGTTTCCTGCGGGTTAGGGGTGAGCTGCCCAGGAGATCGAGTCTGTGCCCGACTGAGTTTTGAGGGCTTCAACGGGCGAACAGGTAAGACTCTAGAAGCTTTCCCAAGTCGCAACGCAGGAACTGAGCGTGTCGCCCTAGCTCCCAAGCCCTGAACTCTAAGGCCAAGACGGCTCACGCAAAGCTAGCCGGAGAAGCGAAAGCTCGAGAGGCACCTCCAGACGGGGACATCTCATAAAGGGTTCAGCATTCTGCTGGTTTGAGGGTTTCGAGTTCCCATGATGATCAGAGTAGGAGGCAAGGAAGAGTGGTTTTGCAAGTGAGCGCGCCGCCTTCAGGAAATAAAATGGCCTCGGGAATTCCTGAGACCGGTAGACCCGCTTTACTGGTCGGTTTTGTCGAAGCCTTCTGTGAGTTTCCGGAAGTTAGGCGTACCTTATTTTGGGGTCCTTGTAATAGGGATCCTACTATGCAGGGTACTATATTAGGGTCCCCTGTTTGCGCAAACTCCTTATAGAACCTTTGTAGGACTTGTAGAAGCCTTAGAATATGGCAGGCGCATCATGCGTCCGTGGCCGATCGGCTTGGGTACATTGAGCAGTTGGCCGGTTCCTGAGTGATTCGGTTGATGATATACATCCTGCATTACCCATAATGAGGAATATACCATAATTCGCGTAGTTTAGGGTCCTTAACGTGATGCAGGATTTACATCATCAACCGTTGGGGGGGCTGGAGCAATGTCTTTGTTGTAGCAGCTGCAGTTGCTTCGCTGTTGTTCGTGCTCTATCTCCTGCGCGTGCCTGTGTCCACCACGCCCACTGCTGCCACTAACCCAAACCCAGGACCCTAAACCAGAATTCCTAAAGCCCGAAAGCCCTAAACCCTAAATCCTGAACCACTAAGCCTGAAGCCCTCAAGCCAACACCACCACCACGAGCGGCACTGGCATAGGTCGGTGACTCCTTCGACAAGCATTCCAAAGAGATCCAAACGTCGCATTCCCGATTGGAGAGCCTGCCCGGGCCCTATGAATTGGAACGGGTTGTATTTCGCGAGCATAAGTGTCAACACTCGTTTCCACCAGTCGGGTCGCGGCTGATGCCCAGGCACAGTCGCCTTACAGCTTGTGAATCACAGGCGCAGGGTTCAGGGTTTTGAGTTCCTTTCACGGCCCGTTTTACGCGATCCATGGGCTGAGTTCCTTTGAGCTTGCTGGCGCTTGGCTCCCAAACTGAACCCTCGCGTTTCAAGAGCGAATTTTGCGAGGCCAGCCAGGATTCACTGCGCGATCGTGTGGATTTCCTGGAGAAGTTGTTGGGAGAGTCTTCGCAGAAGCACGCCGAGGTCAGGCCCCGAGGAATATCGATCCACTTGGGCACTGAATCCCAAAGGCTGTGTTATTGCTGCCCCTTTGACTCGCGCCGTCTCCCTACCGCCTCTAAGCAAGACATGGATCATGAAGTCTTTCACTCTCCGAAAAAAAGATTAAAAAGACAGCCTTGTAGCCTCCCCAAGCTCTTGACACGTTTTCGGTTTAGCGGCTTGAAGATCAGGGTTGAAGGTTGATTGGTTTGTGGCTTGGCAGGCTCTAGGGCTTAGTTTCAGTGCCGGTGAAACCCTCGACTTCCTCGGACGCTAAGGGGGTGCAAGCGGCCCACGCCAATATGGAACGCCTCCATGGCAGTTTTCAGGAGCAGATGTCATCGAGGCCAGCAGAAGGAGATGTCGATACACATTTCTGATGCATATGCGTTTTCATTCCCACATTCATATACCATAGCGGTAAGGTGGACATGCCCATGCATACACATACAGGTACACTTGTACGTTTATACACATATCATCCCAAAGCCGACACATATAACATACATGCGCATGATCCTATTCACGGTCATGTACATGTACATGTACACATTGGTACACGTATGAACTCCATACAGCAATACATTGCACATGCACATACACATACACACGCACAGGTGCATGCACATACAGATGCCCATACTCACACACTGACACACTCACACACAAGCATATGCACACACACACACACATGCATACGTGCTCAGATACATACAATCTTAGATACCGGGAGAGATAGGCAGACAGACCGAAGCGACGGACATACGGACAGACGGACAGACGGACCGAAGGACATACGTACATAATTAGACACAGACATACAGGTAGACAGACAGACAGACAGAGACAGACACGGAAAGGCACAGACATGCTTGATTATATACGTGTACAACAACATACATACACATCTTATCGTTATGCGCTCATACACACAAACAGGTACACACGCAAACCCATGCAACTTTCATGTAGGCTGTGGTAAACCTGTACTCGAGTTGCTGTACTCGAGTTTCCACGTATAGCCATTCTTGTGCGCTGCCCTTTACGCTGAAACGGCCACGCCTGCACACAATGAGCTTTGCGCCCGAAGTTGCCTACGCATTGCAAGCCCCAAGCTCTAAAACGCGAGCACGAGCTGTGCTCGGCACTTAGCCCCAAACCCTCAGTCCTGAATTCCGAGTCTGAAACCGTAAGCCCTAAAGTCTAAACCTTTAGAGCCATTAACCCGGAGCCCTTGTGCCAGGATGGAGAAGCTGCATGGAAGCATACAAGACCGGCTTGAGCGCTTGGAGAAGCAGCAGGAAGCTCAGAAACGCTGGATTAGTCGGTAGACGAAGATGTGGAAGCTTATGGGTGTAGAAGTAAGGCTAGACGGTTTCCTGCAAGTCACGGCCCGGCCCCTGAAGCCTAGCTGAAGAAGCAGAGCTCTCATAGCCAAGACGCATACAGCACGTGGAGGCACAGGGAAACAGAAGCTGAAGCCCCGCAGCTCGGATGTCTCAAACCCTGAAACCTGGCCACCACCTTTATGCAAAGCCCAACTAAACCCTAAACCCTACAACCTAAACCTGAACCCTAAAACCTAAACCCTAAACCCTAAACCCTAAACTCTAAACCCTAAAACCTAAACCCTAAAACGTAAACCCCAGAGCCGGCCGGAAAGGATGCTCGCTTCGAAAAGAGGGACTCTTGGCCCCGGAACTCTGAACCCTGAGCCCTGAACCCTTAATTTCGGGTTTGGGCTTAAGGGTTTAGGGGTTTAGGGGTTTAGGGGTTTAGGGTTTAGGGGTTTAGGGGTTTAGGGTTTAGGGGTTTAGGGTTTAGGGTTTAGGTTTTAGGGGTTTAGGGTTTGCCCGAAACTATGAACCCTTCAAACCCTAAACAGGTTTGGGCAGGCGGACGAGCGCCGCACAAAGGACTGGGAGGCCAGGAGAGAAATTGCCGGGCCGAACCCAGGTGTGGGAGGTTGCAGGGTGGGAGTTGGTAGCTGGTAGGTTTGGTCTAAGAATGTAACAAAAAAGGGGCCTTGATAATCACCTATGCTGTTTTCGGGGTTCTCTAAAATAATTAGAGTATTATTGGCCCCAAAACCCACCTTCTAATTATTAAGGCCCCTACATCATGGATCTAGGGTGGCAGTGGCTTCAGGTGTTGGTGGCTCCGGATGCTGACCTCAACTTGGGACTATCGGAAGACTTCAACCAAAGGGCCATTGAAGAACGACATAAAAGCCCTAAGACTTAACGCCAACCCTCGTATTCCCCAATCCCTATCGAAACTTAAAAAGCCGTTTAGACAGCTTTTAGCAAGCTTCGCAGAAGCTTCATTCCAGCCCAGAGCCCTAAATTAATGTAAACCCTAAATCCAAAACTGCGCAGAAGCACCGGAAACCCTAAGCCCCTAAACCCGTAACCCACTAAACCCCTAAACCCTTAAAACCCTAAACCCTAAACACGAAGAGCGAGGTGCGTTTGACTACCATGGACCAGCAGCTCTCCGAGTCCATCGACGGAGCCTCAGAAAACCTCGGTTTGGGCTTTACGGTTTAGGGTTTGGGGTTAGGGTTTGGGGTTAGGGTTAGGGTTTGGGGTTTGGGGTTTAGGCGTTCTGGGATTCTTGAAAGGGGGTGGGGGTTCGGGAAAAATAGGTGCTCTGGTATTACAGGTCAAGGATTTAATGTATTCTGGACTGGGTGCTGTAGTACTTCAAGAGTTTGGAATGCAGGGTTTAGGAAGGGTTTCTGGCAAGGGGTGTCAGCTGGCTCTGGAGCGCAGGGATGCGCAGGGCGCGCGGGTTTAGGGGTTCTGTGCCCCCGGGGGTGCTGTCAGGGCTTTGTGAGGTCTCTAAGGTGGGGGTTGTAAGGGTTCGAAATTTTCTGAGGGTCCAATACCGCTAGGGGTTTGCAGCAATTAAGGGGGCATAAAGGGTTTAGGAGTCTTACCTCCTGTGCGTCTTGAGGCTTTGGTGCTGAGGGCTTCGGAGGGTTGAGGAGTTTAGAAGCCAAGGCCGAGCAGCCGAAAGCTTTTCCGCCTTGTGTCGCTGGTTGGTCATGGGGCTCTGGTTTTCGTGCGTAGTATAGGGGCCTTAATAATTCGAATAGGGTTTGGGGGTATGTTATCCTATACTTACACTACAACAAGGGGTTTCGGGGGAGGATCCATTGGGTTTGGGGGCTGAGACGGCTATTATTTGCCGCGTATTGACGATAACAAGTAGACATCCCGCGGTCCTGAAACATGCATTGGTTTGGGGTGTTGATTCTGCGGGTTAGAGATTTACATTGCATGACACAGAGAATCGAGTCCAGAACAAATGTGGTATGCTGAAGGTTCAGAGTCTCACGAGTTGGTCTTCTTTGCAACCTTTTCAGATTGTTCCAAGATGGACTTCTCGTGGCATCCAGAGAACGCGAATGCAGACTACATTGTAGCTTTGTTATAGAGGGAGTATATGGCCCCTAGCTACTACCATCCTCACTATAAGAGCCCCTAAACAAGTGGCCGGCCGCCATTTTAAGGAACCCCTATAGTACGCTGGGCCCTAAACCCCGAACCCGAAACCCAGCACCTATGCACCTCTAAAGCTTCTCTGTGTGGTTGGAACCTACACTTGTCTTCTCGATGAGGCCACGCATGGCCGGAAGCTGGAGCAGGTGCCAAAGGTCTAAACCCGAAGACCCCAAACCCAAAGCCCATAAAGCCCTAAAGCCCTGAAGCCCTGAATCCCTGAAGAAAGCTTGAAACTCCAAAACACTAAGCTTCTCACAGAGCCCCTGACTGGCACGTTGGAAAATGCGCTAGCCAACGTACTGCTACGTAGGGCTGTCTTTGTTTTTGGGAAGACGGATGTTAGTACTTTCCGCCCTGAAGGAGCTGGTCCTAAGCCCTAAGCCCTAAACCCTAAGGGAGGGGATTTCGGAGGTAGGCTGTCAAACTGCTTACTTGGAACCTGGGAGATCGTGCTTCTTCATGACGGAGCCATGAGCCACAGGCCCACTCCAAGTGGGACCAGCTACATGGCCGCATGGCCACCCTGGAGGTCATGGGACTTTGCAGTCAGGATTTGTGTGGACTCTCGTTTTGCGGCGTGTCTTCATACTCTCAGTGTTGTTGCCAGGCTCAGGGAAGCACTATCGACCAGTTGAAGCAAAACCACGTGATCATGGCGAATGAAAAGGCCAGCTTGCTGCAGCGCATGATGAAGCCATTGTGCTCCATGCGAGGGTTCAGGGTTTGTCATACAACCCTAACTAAGCCCCGACGCTTAAATCGGCATCGCGACCAGGCCAAGCGCGATGCTCACCATGCTTCCATGGCTGAGCGCTTGGAATATGTTGAGAAAATGCTTGGCGACTCTGCCGATCGCCACAGCCAGATGCTCGGGATGTCTGAAAGCTTGTTCATGAACTTATATCGTTTCTTGCGGTTTGGGGCTTGTGCGTTTATGCAGACTGTTCGGGAACTGGTGTAGATCCACACGTCTGAGGGTGAGGTGACACAGCTGCGACTATGCAATGGATAACGTGCCTGGAAGCCATCTTTACATTATCTTTGCTACAAGCCGTACTCTGTTTCAGGCAGATACTCTAACAAGCACTGTACTCGTAACGGGAGTTTCTGAACGTCATGAGCTTACCAGATGTGTAGGTAGATAGACGGATAAATGGATAGATGAGTTCATGCACTTAGAATCACACGGTCCTTTAACAAGAAATTCAGCTCTATACCTTCAGCCGCCGGAAGCCGAAAGGGAAGTCCTCATTATTCGAAGCTTCAGCCCCGAAAAACCCGGATGCACTTAAAGAACCGTCACCTTGGTTAGGCTCATGCTTTGGGTTGCGCGTTTACGGTCTCTAAACCTTAAACCCCGAGGCCTGAAACCATAGACCACAAACCCTAGCCCCCCCCCCCCCCCCGCCGGTGTATTTTGAAGACTGCGTTCTTCCTAAAGAACTTAATCAAGTTAGCATAATTGGGATCTGTAGTATTTAATATGGTTTCCTTATTTAGAGTAACTTAAACTCCATCCTTCAACAAGAACCCAGGAGGCCTAAACCCTAAACCCCACACCCTCAACCCCAAACCCTAAACCTTAAACCCTAACCCTAACCCTACACCCTAAACCTCCTAAACCCTAAACGTTAAACCTTAAACCCTAACCCTAACCCTACACCCTAAACCCCAACCCCTAAACCCTAAACCTTACACCCCTAACCCTAAACCCTAACCCTAAAACCTAAACCTCCTAAACCCTCAACCCCTAAACCCCAAACCCTAAACCCCCCCCCCCCTACGCCCCCGAGTGTATCTTTGAAGGCTGCTGCATGGCAGCAGGCCCGGGGGCGCACGACTCCCCAATACCCCTTACTTAAGGAATATGCCTCAAATCATATTAGGGATCCTATTATGATTTAAGGTATATTCCTTAATTAAGGAATATGGCTTAAATTATATTAGGGATCCTATTATGATTTAAGGTATATTCCTTAATTAAGGAATATGGCTTAAATGGTATTAGGGATCCTATTATGATATAAGCTTGTTTTTTCTTAACTAAGGGCTTAAAATATATAGGGCTTCATGTTATGATTTAAGCTTGTTTTTCTTAATTGAGGGGTATTGGGCTCTCTGACTCGTCCGCTGCGAGGCCAGGAGCTGAAGGCCGCCCACCAGAAGCTGGAGCAGGTTCCGGGCACAGCATTCCAACTATTATAATTACTATTATTGTAAGAATTATTGTTATTACTATTAGTATTAATATAAGAACTATTATTATTACTATTACTATAAGAATGATTGTTATTACTAGTAGTATTAATATAAGAACTATTATTATTATTACTATTAGTATTATAATAAAAGACATAGTATTATTACTGTTATTGTTATCATTGTTGTTATTGTTTTTCTTGTTTTTTGTATGATTAGGATTCTCATTATTGTTATTCTTGTTGTTATAACTCCATCATTCCGGGCACGGTATACATAATATTATCAGTATTATCATCTTTACTTCTATTATACGCCATTATAAGTATGATTAGTATTACGTTATTAGTATTACATGCTGCTTAGACTATTGTTGCATCAATATTACATTATTGTTACACTATTATTACTATTGTCATTATTATTACTGTTATTATTAGTATTATTGTGAGTAGTACAGTTGTTATTACTAGTATAAACAGGTCCCGGGTCGATGTTGGTCTTTGTGGGTGTAAGGTTTAGGGTATTTGAGAAGGGATTCTGGAAGTCTTTGGCCTTCTGTGTCGTTTAGTTCAGGGTTTAAGGGTTTAATTAAGGGTTTAAGGGTGTAGGGCCCACTGTAGTACCCTAAATACTAGTGGTAGGATCCTGACTACAAGGGGTGTAAGGGTTTGGGGTTTAGGGGTTTGGGGTTTGGGGTTTAGGTCCTTGTAACCCCAAAGCAATAGGATTCAGATAAAGAACCCTAACAAAGACCCAGGGTTTCTCAATCAGGTTAGGGTTTGGGGTTTAGGGTTTATTTTTGTCGAAGGAATTAATTTCAGTTACTGTAAACAAGGAAACCATATGAATTACTACAGATCCTTAATATGGTAACTTGATCAAGTTCCTTAACAAGAACCCAGTCTTCAAACTACACCGGGGGGGGGGGGGGGCTAGGGTTTGTGGTCTATGGTTTAAGGGGGTTCAAAGGGGAAAAGGAGGGACCCTTAATCCTATAATGGGCTATATAATGGGTATATAGTAGCTATATTAAGGGTATATACCTGGGGGTCCTTATTAAGGCTCCCTCCTTTTACCCTTTAAGGGCCGTGTCAGGTCCACGGCCGACTCTCCGCGTGTGAGCGATCGCACAACACCCTAACGGAGCAGCAGCGAGCCCGGGAGGCCTTTTATGACTATGAGTACTACTGTTGATGCACAAAATCCTTCATCACCCATTATAAGGAATATACCATAGTTCCCATAGTTTAGAGTCCTTAGGGTCATGCAGGATTTCGTCCATCAGCCGTATTAGTATTATGATCATTATTTGTATTAGACCATTAAGTATTCGTGATAGGATCATTGTTAGTATTATGATGATTATATGATTACTGTTATGATCGTTCTTCGTACTATGCTTACGGTTGTTGTTCATGTGGTTATGACTTTTCGAGTTAGTACGGGTACGATCAGCATTATGCATTATGATTTTGATTATGGTTATTCTCACTGTATTCTTCTTCTTGCGGCGGGAATAACGATGAGTATTATTGGTATTCGCTTTCCGGTGACAGGATTGGTATCCTCGGCTGCAGGGTTCTGAGGATTCTTATTGGGGTTCTGAGCATTCTTAGAGTTAGAGGTTTTTGGGTTTCGTCGGGTTTTGAGGGTTTTGTTGTTGGGTTTAGAGTTTACGGGCTTTTGGGCCTAAACCCTAAACCCTTAAACCCTAAACCCTCATGGTCGCATCCTTGACGTCGGACCTCTTGCCGATCGCAGGACGAGTTCTCGTCCCTGGCACTTGAACCCAACATCCCAGGCCTGAAACCTCCAGACCCCTTGGCCGCTTGCATATATTGAAAGAGGGCCGTAACAATTGGAGCAGAGTCTTGGGATACATCATTGTCGAATTACGCAACCCTACGAGTGATATTGTAGTTATTCCGGTCTCTGTTCTACCCCCTAAACAAGCACAAGGCTTGTACCAGCCAACGCTGTAAGGTTGAAACGCCTTAAGCCGGATTCCGACAGGTCAACTTGGACGCTCACCACGCAACGCTCAAGGCCCCGGGCTGAGTCAAAACCTCCGGTTCCAGTGCCTGGAGATGTTTGGGAGTTTCCGAAAATAGGGGACTCGAATATAATACCCTAAATAGAAGGATCCTTACTAATAAGGACCCAAAATAAGGTATCCCTAATTTTCGGAAACTCCCGTTTCGCCCCTGAACGCTGAGCCGGGAAGCCTGGCCTACCCTCGTGCGAGCGCGTCGCTGGAACCCGCAAACGCTGGATCCCTATGTCGTATATCCTAATCTAAACCCCGAATCCTAACACCTACACCTTGTAACCCGAAGCACGCCAACACCCGAGACTTCGTTAGAAAGGAAGCAAGACCCTAAGCCATGCATGTTAAGGTTCGACTCTCGAAGCTCGGGGTTTTCAGAGTGTCGGCTTTTCAGCTTGAACTCCCAAACTACGTTGAGACGAGCCCAAAACTGATATCGCGACGGGGTTTAGGTATGTTAGGGTGTCGGGCGGTGTGTAGGGCAGCAAAAAAAGTAGCTTGTGAGATTTTTGGGTCGTCGGTGTAACCGTAACCCCAATCCCTCAATGCTTGGATGACGGAAAACGGCTCCCTGCAGAAAGCCTAAAACTTCTCTACCAGCCAGAAACCCAAAGCTCAAAACCCCAATCCTTCATCCTCTCAACTGCTCAGCCACCAAGCTGTGAACCTTATCACCCAAACCCCCTCGGCACTCAAGAACCCCAAGAAGGAGCTTGATAAACTGCGTGGAACCCTGCATCCAATGCCCAGGAGCGCGTGGACTACCTAGAAGGCGCCATCGGTGACTCAGCGGACAGGCCCTCACCGCCGAACACCCCCAAGTCTAGGAACCTGATGAAGGAACCCTGGGCCCCTTGTAAGAATCTTGATACCTTGGGGTTCCCAGAGCCTCCAAAACCCGTTAATTAAGGAATATACCTTAAATTATAATAGGATCCCTAACATCATTTAAGGTATATTCCTTAATTAGGGGGTTTTGGAGGCTCTGGGTTGCAGGGCCGAGGTTTCTTAATCAGGTTCCTACATTGGATCTCTGATGGCTGACGGTTCGGTGTTTCAGGGCTTTGCCCCGAAACCCACTCTTTCAATCTTGAGCTCCAAACCCTCAACCATGAAGCCCTGAGCCCGAAACCCTAAACCCTGAACCCTAAGCCCACGCCCCGAGCCCCAAACCGTCAGCTTCACTAAGAAACCCTAAACCCTAAACCCCGAAGCCTTACACACCCTAAACGCTAAACCCTATGCCTCAAACCCTAAACCCTAAATCCTAGACCTCAAACCTTAAACCCTAAATCCCTAAACCGCTAAAACCCTCAAGCCCTAAAGCCCTAAACCCGCCCTTGGCTCAGAGGCATTCTCGGGAACTCGAGAGCTTGAAGACGGCCCACAGCCGACTTCAAAGCGACTCGAAAGCTAAGGCAGGGGGTGGGGGGGGGGGGAGGGTTAAGGTTAGGGTTCACGGTTTAAGATCAATAGTTTAGGATTTAGGGGTTAAGATAAAAAGTTTCGGGTTGAGGGTTTAAGATGACGAGTTTCGAGCTTATGGTTTAGGGCTCGCAAGACAAGTAAGACCGAAGATCCTGGACTGAATAGTTACTGTATTTTTTTTGCTTTTTGGTGGGGGTGGCGGGGAAGGGTCTCGAAATATAACTTTCTAGCTTTCGGATATTCAGGGTTTTTATGTGGGTTTAGAGGGTTGGGGTGTAGCAGCGGAACACTTAGAAGTGCAACGGGTAGAAGCACTTACACCAAGACATCGGAACACAGGTGCTCCTGTGTTGGGGCGTGATGCTGCATCCTTAACCTTTTATCCCCTGAGCCAGAACAAGCAAGAGATGGCTTTGCAGGAGGCGCACACTGACGCACACCATGCCAACGTGGGAGAGCGGCTCTCATTCTTGGAGAAGGCGATTGGTGACTCAGCGGAAAAGCATGCTCAGGACGGGCTGCATTTGTGGGCAATAGTATTTATCGTGAGACTGTAACGGGGTATTGATGACGATGATGATGGTGATGATGACGAAGACGACCAGGGCAAGAACAACGACAAACGCATAGGTTTGTCGATGTACAGCAGCAGTAGCAGCACTAGTTCTTGCTAAGCGTAGTGCCAGCAGTTTTCTGCCGCCATGAGTATTTGGGCAGGAGCTTGCTGAAGCCCATTCCAAGATCGCCAGCATGCATTCTCGCCTCACCGCCTGTGAAGCAACAGGAGCCGCAGAAGTCGACAGCTGTAGCGCGGGTAAGTGCAGGTAGATGGGCCAAGAGGGAAAATACTCACGGCTCTTCGATGCAGGTTGTCTAACGCTGTAGTTAGGGAGCTGAGTAGCCTTCGTCTGGTGATTCCGTACATGAGTAGCACAACCAGTGCAGGATCGACAGTGGACGGTTTGAAGAAGGCGCATGCGAACCATGTGTCTGATCAAACAGCACGAGATGCGCATCATGCGACTCTCGCGGAGCGGTTGGACTACTTGGAGAGGCCCTGCTTCCCGAGTTCCTCCATTAAGCAGCGAAGACCCTGATCCCAATCCCACACCATGTTGGGCTTTAGGCACTGAGGCTCCTCCATCCTAGGGTCCCGGATGCCTTGCAAGCTGCGGATAGGAGCGATAGGAGCCCTGAGAGGATGTTTGGAGATTCCGCAGACATGCATGCCAAGCAGCTGAAGGCAGCCCACGACAAGATCGAGAAGATCCATGCTCGCGTGGCAAGCTGCGAAGAGACGGGCTCGACCGTGGCAGACTTACACAAGTCGCACCAGCAGGTAAACCAAGAGCACCGCGACAAGATCTCCACCCTGCACTCTTCCGTTAGCGAGCGGCTGAGCTACCTGGAGGGCTTGATGGGCGAGTCTGCCGAGCTACATGCCAGGGAGCTGGAAGCTTTGAAGACGTCGCACTCGCGAATGGCCTCGGAAGTGAAAGCTCGCGATGCCCACCATGCGACCGTATCGCAGCGCCTGGACTACATCGAGAAGCTCTTAGGCGACTCAGCTGACAAGCACGCCCAAGAGCTCAGGGCGGCCCATAGCAAGATTGATCAAGTGCATCAAAGAGTCACTGGATCGCAGCAGGAGGACACATGACATTTTGCAGCCCTGCTTCCAGAAATTACGGGCTTCGGTTGTTCGTGCAATTACTCGCACCAGTCACTGTGATTTCCGATGTACTCTAGTGTTCTTTCTCGCGCGCACGCTCATCCTCCGAACAGCTCGCTCTGGCCATCATGCACATCTGCATGAACATACATCTCCTTCACCGTTGACACCGGCACCCTCATTTGTTCTTGTGCCACTACCTCTTTACCTTTGGAGCCTTTGGATCTATCGATCCACTCACCACTCCATCCGTATTAGTATATCAAATTGCACTGCCGCAGGCATCCAGCAAAACGACAATAGTAGGAGCGTCGACAGAAAGAATAGTTTGTGGTAGCAATAGTAGCAGCACAAAATATAGAATTTTTGGCTGATTTTTGGTAATCCTGCATCCCTCCACCCAGCCGTCCTCTATCCCCCTGCTGTATAGCGCAACAAACGGAAAAGATGTACACTGCACTCTCTGTTCCTCTTGCAGTTTCTCCCACCGTGCCCCCGCGGACCCCAAGCTCTCGGCAGTTACAAGGGTGGGAGAAGTTGGGAACCTCAAATTTCTGAGCCAAGCTATTGAATCGAGATTGGCCGTGCGTTCGCAGGAAAGCTTACGAGCTCTTCTACACTCTGAAAAGGAGGCTCGGCAAAAGCACGTGGCCACGGTGGAAGAACGGCTGGAACGATTGGAAACGTCTCTGGGTGAGACCCACAGCAAGCATGCTTTGGAGATCGAGTCTACCAAGGCTGCTCACCAGAGATTAAGCAAGGAGCAGAAGTTGCGTGATGACAAGCATGCAACCGTCGCAGAAAGGCTGGAATATTTGGAAACGAAGATCGGAGACTCCTTCGACCAACACGAGCGTGAGCTGAAAGCGGCACATGCAAAGTTGGAGCAGGCTCAGAACCGAATTCTCCAGTGCGAGAAGCAGGGCGCCACGATCTCCGAACTCCATCGGTCCCACAGCTCCAGCTCCCAAGAGCACAAAGCGGCTCTTGCGGCCCACACGGCTTCTTTGGGCGAGCGCCTGGAGTTCCTGGAGAAGAGTTTGGGCCAGTCTGTGGAAAAGCATGCCAAGGCTGGGAATAGTTTCGGTAAAGGGGTCTATAAGGGTTACGTACTATAAGGGCTACTAAATCCTTTCGTATAGGGGCCTTAACAATTAGACTAGGGGATTGGGTTCTTGTCAAAGGATTTATTGTAAGTTTCCATAATCAGGAAACCCTAGTAGTAACTATAGATCCCTGTTATGGTCATGTACCCTAGTGTTTTGCTATAGATCCCTATTATGGTAATGTAAACTACTAAATTACCCTAGTATTTAATTACAGATCCAAAGTTCCTTAGCAAGAGCCCTAATTCCTAAACCCTAAGCCCCGAGCCCCTGAAACCTAAGCCCCTAAAACCCTAAACCCCATAAACCCCTAAATCTCTAGACCTTAAACCCAAAACTCCTAAACCCGAGACCACTAAACCCTGAAACCCTAAAACCCTAAACCCTTAAACCCTAAACCCTAAACCCTTAAACCCTAAACCCTAAACCCTAAACCAACCAGGAGGTGGAGGCCCTCAAGGTCTCTCACTCGAAGTTTGCCACTGACACGAAGCTTCGGGATACGCACCACGCAGCCTAGCGGGGACTTAAAAATATTTTTCATCCCTGGCTCCCTTAAGAAACAGCTAAAACTATACGTTTTGCTAGGGGTTTAAGTTCAGTATAGGCAACGGTATCGGAACGCCTCGACTACGTCGAAAAGATGGTCGGGGATTCGGCGGACAAGCACGCCAAAGAGTTAGCAGCGGCCCATGACAAGATCAAGGACATGCACAAGCGTGTAACGGACTGTGAGGCTGGCTCTTCCATATACATAACGTATACGTACAAAACCACATACATATACAGTATGTGCATAAACATAAGCATATACATACGCGCATACATCTTTTGCGCATATAAGGAACATGTGTACTTTGTATATATATATATATATATGCTTATGCTATATATCTATATATGTATATAGACACCGGCGTATATGTACAAAGTCTAGATCTGTATACATACATACATACATACATACGTACATACATACATACATACATAATTCCATGCATAAAGGTCTTGTGAGTTGAAGTTCAAGCTTCCTGCTAGGCTCGTGGCAACCACGTGGATTTCATGCGAAAGACACACGAGAAGATGGCGAACGAGCAGGCTCACAGGGCACGATGTAGCATCTTTCTTAGCAGGTTTCGCGTATCATGCCGGCTGCGTTGTCTGTGTCCATACATGCCTTCCTGCTAGCATGCATGTAGGTATGTGTGCATGCATTTGCTATTGTGTAGCATAAGCCGAGCACACATGCACGTATGCGCACACGCGTCATGCACAAATTGACGCATACGTTCCACGCGCATGCGTGCATAGACGCATGCACAGTCTCTTCTTCCACAAGAAGGGTGGTAAGAATCATGAGTGCTTGCATTTGGTTTCTTCCCAACGGTGGTCCAGGCAGCCCATGCGTCCAACCATGCAACCTTGAAGGAACGCGAGAGCCTGAGCTTTCTGTGATTCATGCAGATCTGTCCTGGCCTTCTGTTACTCTCCCTGGTGCTTAGTAGGGAATGCGGGAACGGATCCCTATGGTAGTCCCTATATAGTCCCCAATAATGGTCTCCTTAATCCACTCCCTACTAAGAACCATACAGTCTGTATCCTTGCGAGGCGTTGATTTCCTTGAGAAGAAAGTTGGAGATTCGGCTGACCACCATAAGAAGGCGCGCTACTCGGTGCCGCACGTGGCATTTGCCATCCTGTTGCAAGGTAGCATGGGAGTCTGAATCACTGGTACAACTATCGTCTTATAGCAGCTCTATTGGCTTGCTGAATCACCGGGAATAATGTCCCCTTGTAGCCGACAGGTGCGCGGTAGTCTACCCCCCCAAACCCCAGTCTAAGTCTTGTCGCTAATCTTTAACCCTTGACCCTGCAGCCCAAACTCCAGCGGTTTCAAGGAGCTCCAGGCGACGCGGCAAGCACAGGCTGGCTAATGTCGCTGCGCCAGAGCTGATCTCATGTGCATTCTTCTCTATGTCCCGCCCCCACTCTCCCTCTCTTCCCCCCTTTCTCTTTTTTTTTCTCTCTCTCTCTCCCTCTTCTCTCCTCTCTCTCCCTCTTCTCTCCTCTCTCTTCTCTCTCTTATCTCTCTTTTCTCTCTCTCTTTCCAGTCTCCCTCGCTGCTCGGCTTTTCCAGGAGCAGATTCACGCGCGCCTGAACGAGGAGCGGCAGATGCGAGAGCAGGCTGGGTGACTCTCCCCCAAAGGGGGCCCGAGGGCCCTAGGGGTCCTTTAAAGGGAAGTGTAGGGGGGTACTATAAGGGCCCTAGATAATATTCAACATGGGTTCATTTAAAGTGAACTATAAGGGGGATATATAAGGGTACTATAAGGGCCCTAGATGATATTAAACATGGGGAGATGGAATAGTAAGAACAAGGAGCGTAAGAGAAACTAATGCAGACAATAGCCATAGCAATAAGAATAGCATGAATACAGATAACCACCAGAGCAGTAAGAGTCGTAGTAGCAGTAGTAGTAGTAGTAGTAGTAGTAGTAGTAGTAGTAGTAGTAGTAGTAGTCGTAGTCGTAGTCGTAGTCGTAGTCGTAGTCGTAGTCGTAGTCGTAGTCGTAGTCGTAGTCGTAGTTGTAGTCGTAGTCGTAGTCGTAGTCGTCGTAGTAGTAGTAGTAGTAGTAGTAGTAGTAGTAGTAGTAGTAGTAGTAGTAGTAGTAGTAGTAGTAGTAGTGGTGATAACGACAATATTAACAACGTCAGTAGAAGTAATTGCAATAGCTACAACAATTGTAACAACAACTCCCCTATCTTTCTATATGCTCATATCATATATTTAAAGATGAGAGATCAAAAGCCTAAACCTTAAGCCTTCCCAACCCTTAAGTCGGTCTTTGTAGTTTATTACAGGCCCAAGCCCTGCTCGAATCTTTGAGGCCACCTATAGCATCTCCCCAAATCCTAAACCGTGAGCCTTGTAGTTCTGCAGTTTTGCATCCGATGCCCTGCAAACCCTGAGGCTCTAGGGTTGGGATTTTAGAGCTTGGGAGTGTAGCTTAGGGTTTTCAGGTTGAGGAGTTGAAGGGGGGCTTGACGTTTGAGCTGGAACCTGGCTGCATGGAGTCCGAAGGTCCTCAAAATCTTCACATGGATGCTCCTCACCCACATACCAAGTCCTGTTGGGGGTTTGGGGTTCGTGGCAGAGAGGGTCTTGAACGACGCTTCTTACACAGCAAACCCTAGGCGAAGCTCTAACAACAACTCTGCAAAAAACGCGTAGCCCCTAGAAACACCTTAAACTCGACACCATCAGCCACAATGAAGCCTTAAACCCTTAAAAAACTTCAGACCATGGACGCCAAGATAGCCAGGTGCATGAGCAGTTCCAGACCGAGAAGGCAGGCAGAAGCAGAGCAGATGAAGAACTTCTCCTTGCTCCTGTTTTTGTCTTTAGGGCTGAGGTTGTGGAGTTTTGGGTTTCCGGGTTTGAGTTCAGGCTTCGGGGTTCATGAGGATCCTCGTGCTTTGATTGCTTTGGTGGTTGATTCCGGCCCCCTGAGCCATGGCCGTAATATAGGGGCTGTAATTGTATATTACCTATACTATTTTGGGGCTTCCTTATATTATAATGGGCCGTAATATAGGGGTCTTAATTGTATATGACCTATACTGTTTTGGGGGTTCCTTATTGTAATGTGCCCCACATCCCGATTCTAATTGTTAAGGCCCCTATAGTGAGCCTCCCGGAATCATTACCTATACTATTTTGGGGGTTCCGTATTCTAGAAGGCCCACAACCCTATTCCAATTCTTAAGGCCCCTATAGTGAACCCTAAACCCTAAACCATGGCTACGGCTCAAGCTGTATGGCCCGAGACTTTTCCTGCGGTTCAGTGACCTCCCTTTCCCTCTCCGAACATTGGGGCGGCACACCTCCTTCATTAAGATCCCTTGGGCGGCCAGATCCTCCTCTTCGGGGGTGACTTTGGTGCTTTGGCCGGAGGGCGAGATCGCGAACAGGCGGCCAGTTCCTCTGCGTCGGGGGCGTCTTCCAGTATTCTTCCTCTCTTTCCATTTGTCTGGGGCAACGGGGCGAAAGTTTCCCTTTGTCCTTTGTCCTTGAGAAACATCTGGGCGAGTTTGTGGGCGAGTTCGTGATCGGGCTCTTCGATATCGCGCGGTGGTCCCCTCGTGGCCGTAAGAACGATCATGGAGAACACGGCCGTTCCTGGACCTGCTGGATCTGCTGACATGGCTGTGGATCTCGAGCAAGTTGAGCAACTTGGGTCACCGACCGAGCTGGCAGAGGAGAGCGACATGGAACATGATGCGGACGTCAAGCTCGAGCCCAAGGTGGAGAAAGAGAAAACGGAGAAGAGTGAGAAGAGAAAACGAGAGATTAAGAAAGCTCGTCCTGACGCCCAAGCTCAAGCGATACCGGATGATTCGGACGAGGATCTTGGGAGTCCTTCCAAGAAAGCCCATGGTGACGACAGACCTATCTCAGCCCGTGAGCTTCGTGAACTCCTTGTTGGGCATCGGGATGACATGAAACAAGCATGGCAAGCTTTTGAGGATCGCTTGGGACGAGTGGAACTACAGCAAAAGAACCAGGTGGGCGACATTGCCTCACTAGCAGGAAGAACCAAGATCAACGAGAAGGACATCTCCTCCGTCAAGAAGGCCCAGACCGTCGCCGATAAGAAGATTGAGAGCATCACCGCGGAGGTCGCCAACTTGAAGGTCCAGTTCGAGGAGCAGAAACAAGCTGTTCAACCACCTGCTGAAGGCGCACACCCTGGAGGGGGAGTTGGAGCAGATCCATGGGCTGATTACTACAACCGGCAGCTCGCAAGTGGGAGAATTGGAAATGGACAATCTTCGAACGATCGCCCCAACCCGGCTAAACCATCCACGCTTCCGTCTGGAGGGGGAGAGGGCGACTTTCTCTCGGAGGATGATAGGAAGACGCTTGTGGTCGGCGGGTGGCTGCAGGATACACGCAGGGCGACTATCGAGGAGGAGTCCAAAAGTTTCCTTGAGCATCCGGAGGTCAAACCGCTGGTGGATGTGGAGAAGCTGGCGATCTTCGGCCCCCGCAGAAGTGTAGGTATGTTAAAGTTTTGCTTGCGAGATGGTGAAAAATCTCTCGATGAGGTGAAGAACAGGATGTGGAAGGTTGTCAAGGCAGCCTCTCAGCTTCGAATTCCTCTGGAAAGCGCCAAGAACATGGGCGAGGACAGGGCGATTTGGTGCTCCTTCGTAAAAACCAAGCAGGCACGGACGAGATCGGCACACATCAGCATGGCGCGGCGTGTCACAATGGCCCTAGCGGCAGAGTCCAAGAACGAGGAGGGCGGTGTTCTAAACTACGAGCACACAACCACCGGCGCCTATGACATGGACTGGAACGCGGGAACAATCTGGAGCGGACTACACAAATTGGCCTCATCGACCCACAGGAGCCCGAAGGATGCCGAAATCATCACCATGACGGGCGGCTGGATCAACTTGGACGCTGTGGGACTCATTGCAGGATGCACTGTGGAGGCTGCCAAGGCAGCCTTTGAAAAAGAGCTGTGAGAAGGGGCGAGTTTCACCCCGCCCGATGGCGGGACGAATTGGTTGCCTGGCGAGTTTGAGCTGGGCGATGTGCATGACAAAATTCCCCGCGGAGTCCGGCAAGTGCGTGCAAGACGCAAATGGGGGCGATGTGGGAGCTGGAATCTGGGAGGACAGAAAATTGACCTTCTGGATGTTGCAGGACGTGATCTTGACATTGTCTTGGCTCAGGAGGTTTCACGGGGTGAAGTTGGTTGGGACACTACGAACACCGAACTGTTCCACTGGGTTCACCATCAGAGTCCGCGACAATGGCGAGGAGTAGCGATTGGGATCGCACATGACAAGCTCGACAGTGTCATCCATCGTGTTTCCACCTCTCGTGGCATCTGGTTGCTCGCTCGCCTTAAAGGCTTGGGACGAGTTGCCATTGGGGCCCTTCACTGCCATACTGGTGCCACTAATGCCATTTATCAAGCCGCTGTACTACAGTTCACACAAGAATGCCCCGGCCGATGGAGACAATACCCGCTGATATGCGGCATCGATGCGAATGAAGAACTCAAGTGGATGGAAGGCGATGATTGCAGAATCTCTCTACGACGAGGATCCACAAACCTCGAGCTCCTTTCACACCAGATGCTTCACCTTGGGGCCTGCCCAATTGGCCCAACTCGTGCCCAGTGGGAGTGTCCTTCTCACTTCCCGCGAGATGAGACAAGAGTGGGCAGGCAAATTGATGGAGTCTGGTCAAGGCTACTCGACACAAATGAAGTGAGACTTGATGCTGAACGACGCCACGTTATCGGCACCGACCATGCCCTTGTCTACGTGGATCTGTTCTCCAATGGGAAAAGTCAAGATCGATGGGGTCGAGATTCTCGTCCTCGCTATCTTTGTGCCGACATCCCATCTGTAGATATTCAGACCGCGGCAGACCTCGCCCAAGTAGCTCGTGCCTGCACCTGCCCAAGGAAATCATTGGCCTATGAGGATACCGATGAGATCAAGGACATGATTCGGGAGGCCCGCATCACCAATGAGAAAAAAGACTGGAAACGAGTTCATAAGGCTAGAAGAACGGCCAAGCGAGCGTGGGAGCAACAAAGGCTTAGCAACATCCTGCACGGTGACTGGCACCAGTATCGGGCACTCCAGCGTGAAAAGAAACGCCGAACCGGATGGTGGGGAAAGATGCTACAAAACCAGTCTGCGTCTGACAACACTGAGAAAGTCAAAGCTCACCTTAGCTCCAAGCTTGTCAATGAGTTCGGCAAGGATTGGGACGAACTTCTCCAGATGCAAATTGATGCGATCGAGACACGCAGCATCTACCAGCCCTTCACCATGATTGAAGTCCGCGAAGTCTTGCAAGACATGAAGGTGAATAGCGCCGTTGGGCCAGATGGCATCAGTGTTTCTTTCCTTCGCCATGCCATGAGCCATGACATTGTCGCCCCTTTGATATTGGACCTCATCAATAACATCATTGAATGGGTCGACATGCCTGACAACTGGGAAGATAACTTCCTTGCCTTGCTCGCCAAAGTTGACTACCCTGAGAAGCCGGGTGACTTGCGCCCTATCTGTGTAAGCTCAGCGTTCCACAAGCTCATTAACAAGCTTGTCTGCACGAGGGCGCTCCCCAGCATGAGGATTGGATCGCGCATCTCAGGATGCGGCAAGGGGAGACAGGCCGCAGACATCATTGGGACGATGACTCGACTGAGAGACCTCACGCAAGAATGGGATCTCCCTATCCTGCTTTGCAAACTCGACATCTCGGGCGCGTTTGACAAGCTGGACAGACAGAAAGTGGTCGAACTACTTCGGGAACGGCTTGGAGGGGGAGATCTTGATCATGAACTCAAATATCTCATGGCACAGTTGAGAACTTACAAACTGACCGGCAAGGTGCCAGGCGGGGGCGAGATCTCTCTTTCCCCTAATATCGGCATAAAACAAGGGGCTCCAGAAAGCGCGGAAGTCTTCGGTCTTGTCATGGACGCTATCCTCACCCAGCTGATTGAACACGCGGGCTGGAAGGCCTTTGGTCGTCCCCTCCCAGGACTGGACGTTGAACTGGTCTTTTACCAGGATGATATTTTCCTGATTGAAACCAATTTGGGGCGACTGGGGAAAAGGGTGAAAGTGCTTGAACGCTGTCTTCTTCGTCATGGGTTGAATTTAGCGCCAGAGAAGACCAAGATTGTGGCATCAAGCTCATACCGAGGGGCGAGAAGAGCACTCGTGGGAGGAACATTCTTTTCTGTCGCGGACGGCCATGACTCCGTTCGCGTGCTTGGGATCTCCTTTAACTTGCAAGACTCAGCGTCTCAACAGGCGAGGGAGATTCTACAACGTACCCGTGGAGCAGCGATGTGCCACAAAGAACTTCTTCGAGGGCGAGCTAGCTGGGAGCGAAAGGCGAACATGATCGGGACCCTCGTTGAATCACAGTTCACCTGGACGGGAGGAGCTCTACACTGGTCGCCGGAAGATCTTCGACAGGCGAATACCCTGCAGCTCCATGTGCTGCGCAGTGCATTCAGGATAGCAAGAACCAAAGATGAAACCTGGGCCGACTGGAACACCCGCAGCATGAGACTCTGCAGAGCGTGGCTTGCCGCTCAAGGACGTCCGCGTTGGTCTGCACGATTGCTTACCCTGCAACATACACTGTTGGGCCATTGGGCCCGCATGCAGGAAACACTAGGCCCCGACAAAGGCGCCATTCCGTGCCTGCCGATGCGAGCATTCCAGTGGAGAAGCACTGCGTGGTGGCGAAAACAGCAGCAACTCACACCACGGACAGGGGTTCGGCATCCTCGCAGAGTTTATATCTCGAACGTCGAACAGATGCTAGCTGCTACGCATGGCTGTGAATGGCCGGACCTTGCTCAGAATCGGCAAAGATGGACAGCCTGTCGCCAAGAGTATCTCAACAGATGGGACCCAAAGTGGTGCCGTGGACGTCAACTGGCATTGCAAAACTAACTGTGGTGATTTTGAGTGCTTCGTTGGGTTATGAATAAGGATGATGTGAAGCCCCGCCGGCAAGCGTGGCTGAATCGCCAAGTCCGTGACCTGACGATCCCAGTCTGACAATGATACGATTTCTGGTGAATCACGCCTTTCTTTACTTACCATGTATGTATCGATCCGAACCAAGTTGTCATTTGCACTTTCGAGATGTTTTTCCTCTTCAGTCTCCGAATCGCGCACTTTCCAGCCTGTGAATCACGACATGTTCGACTCATCGCCCTTGCAGCCTACTCCGCTCGTAACCCGTGGTCTGGCTCTAGGTGAACATCAAGCCCTTTGTTCCCTCGATATCTTCATGATGGCCTCCGGCATGGCGCTCCCATGGCTGCTGAAGCTCGTGGTCGCTTGGAGCCTGCCCTGGCCAGCCGAACCCCACGCCGCTGTGGACACGAGGTCGCCTCCACCAAAGTGGATCTGCGACACAACCGGCCCGGCTGCTCTGTCGCTAGGGCCCTCTCTAGCGATGTCGACCTCTATGTGCTTTTGGACCTCGTTCTCGACCTGTTGGACGCCCTGCACAACCAGTTCAGCAAGCACCTCTCCCACATGGGTCACTTCGACATCCTTGAACTTCATGGAAAATGGCACTGCCGTATGGACACCGCGGACACCCGGCCATGGGGCGATTCCCTGGACATCTTGGACATGCGGATGCATGGCCGGCTTTCCTGGGGCGCCATTCTGGACTACCTGTACAACAACCTCGACGAGCACGTTCTGGACTACCTGCACAACAACCTCGACGTGTACGTTCTGGACTACCTGTACAACAACCTCGAAAAGTCCGAGCACACTGCGTCCTTTGGGGTCCCATGGGAATGCCTGGATCACAATATCCTGGACACCGTGGACGACCAGCATGGCCGGATCATCGTTGGCACTGTTCTGGACTACCTGTACAACGACCTCGATGAGCACGTTCTGGACTCCTTGTACAACAACCTCGACGTGTACGTTCTGGACTACCTGTCCAACAACCTCGACTGGGGCGCCGTTCTGGACTACCTGTACAACAACCTCGACGAGAACGTTCCGGACTACTTGTACAACAGCCTCGACGAGCACGCTCTGGACTACCTGTACAACCGCCTCGACAAGTACGAGCACACTATGTCTTCTGGGGACCCCTGGTAATGCCTGGATCACAACATCTTGGACACTGTGGACGACCAGAAGGGTTGGCTCATCGTTGGCGCCGTTCTGGACTACATGTACAACGACCTCGACGAGTACGCTCTGGACAGCTTGCACAACAACCTCGATGTGTACATTCTGGACTACCTGTACAACAACCTCGACGAGTGCGAGTACATCGTGCCCTCTGGGGGACTCAGGAGATACCCGGATCACAACATCCTGGACACTGTGGATGATCTGCACGGCTAGCTCTTCTTTGGCGCCGTTGTGGACTACCTATGCAACAACTTCGACGAGTACGTTCTGGATTACCTGCGCAACTACCCCACCGAGTACAACAACCCCAACGAGTACGAGCACATCATGTCCTCCGACACCCTCGGGAGATGACCTGACCACAACAACCATACCGACCACTTGGACCACAACATCCACCGCGACCTTCTCGTGGACGGCATGCAGTTCGCCGGCCTCACCCGTGATAACCTGGTCAATGAGCCCTTCCACAGTGACCTCGCCGGAAATTGAGCAAGGGATGGAAGCGAATATGTATGCGCTGGAATCCTTGGGGTTCCTTGCCTCACCGAGAACTACCACCACCACCAGTTGGGGCGAGAGTTCGTCGTCGTCCTCCTGGCAAACTCCCCAAACAGCAACCTCGTCCACAGCGGCCAATGCTTCTAACTTGGACCCACGACGACCTTGGACTCAGGCTGAAATCCAAGAGTACATGAACAGTGTCTGGGAAGATGATAGTCCATGGCACAATCAGGCCCACGCAGCCAGCTGCTGGGACGAACATGCTCAGCCAATGGGGCAGGAAATTTGGGATATGGAGACCTCTCTATCTGCCCAGCTGACAGAGACCATCCCTGCGGAACTACTACCAGAAGTACTTGCCCAAACTCAGCAAGATGCGCCCCTGCCGAATGACATCCCAGCAACGTGGTTGGCAACAGAGGCTTGGCCAAACATGCTTGATGCAGGACACGAAAGTTCAGCCACGACCCCCAGTGGAAACCAAACCATGATCAATATGCTCGTTTGTAGGGTTGGATCCGCGGGGGCTGGATCAGTGGGCTTGGCAAAAACCAAAGTTATCAAAATCAGAAGTCAACCTGAACAAAGACTTATTGGATACGTTACGACACGGTAGGTTTGTCCAGAATTAATGTAACTGGAGATTTGCAGACACTGAAAATTGTTGAGAAAACCATGAAAAAATGTAGTATTATTTCTGTCCAAGCCGGTGTGTGAACAGAGCAACCGGAAGCTGTGCCATTCCAGTGACTCCTTGCACCGACATTGGCACGTCGGGCAAGGTCACACTAGATGGCTGGCCTTTGTGTCCCCAAGCAAGGAAACTTGATGGCTCTTCGGGTGAGAGCCCGGCAACACCAACAGGTTTTCGCAAGGCTGAGGACGTCTGTGCAAGAGCCGGCAGAAGCTGCAAAGGTGTGACTCCCAAATTGTCAACAAGAAATTGTTCCTCAAGTGTGTTCACTTGTGCCATGCCACTGACCCCTTGCACCGACATGGGCACATCGGGCAAGGTCACAGTGGATGGCATCTATTGTTTCCTCACACTGCTCAGAACAACCTGTCAACTTAAACAGGTTGCTGCAAGGTTGAGGAAATCTTGAGTCAGCATGGCATTGCTTGGCAAGGTTGACGATTCGAATTGAGGAAATCTTGAGGAATCCTCCTCAAGTGGGGCAAAGAAGGCAAGAACGACGTCCAAGGCCCTGATTTGCCGGCGCATACTCATTCACTGAAAGAGCCATATCAATTCTGTTCCTCCAAGTGTGTTCACTGAGACAGCCACATCGACATAAGGCTGCAAGCAAATCAGACTTGTGTCTCAATTGTTATGCAACCTTCTCATCAGTCATCGCACTGTTTTACCTGTGTTGCTGCATGGCCTGCTGTTGCTGTTGTGTCACAGCATTCACACCCCAAAAACCAGTCACAGCAGATTGGCTTGAATAATAAAAAGCATGCAGCTCAGTAAGCTATGAAACGTATTTTGGCTGACGAAGCGGATCGTCACAATAGATTCCGGACAATCTGCGCAACTGCTTCCCCGAACATCGAAGTGTATTCCCCACTAGCCTGTACATCTGCTGGCACACCGGTGAAACGGCCGTCTTCGCCTCGGTTTACCAGACCAATGAAAGCATTATGATCTGGTTTGGGCCTGGCCAGGTTCTCAAAATGAAACCCAGGCAAATGCCACAGTTGCAAGGGCTTCACTGACTTTCCGTTAAAGGCACCCATGTAGGTGCAAGTCTTTTCGAAGCCACAAAAGGATAGAACTGTTTTGACACACTCGAGGTGCGGCATACAGGAGCTGAGGGGCTGTTCCACCACAGGGCAGCACTCACATGCCCATCCCAGGAAAATCCCAAGTGAGCAAACAAGGGCCTGACAATTTCCCTGCAATACAAAGTCCCGCTCAGTCCATGCGCCTTCCCAGCCGTTGCTTTCAGCACGTTGGGAACGAAATGAGCACATAATGACAAAAGAAGAGCACGGAGTGCCCCACCAATGCAAAGCCTTCTTCTCACACGCTGTGGCTGCATCCAGAAACAAACGCAACCCTTTCGCTAGCAACATGTTGTGTTCGTCATTGTAGAGTATGTCAAAGCTGCACCCACGGAGACCGGATTCGATCAATTTCTTCGAAAGTTTGGCGCTCCCTGCATAGTATTCAATGTATTGCAGCAACCCCGCACATTGATGGGGTCCCACATCGATTGAAGCTGCTTCAATCTTGGCTCTGTTGTCATAGCTACGGCTAATGATGCACATCAGCTGACACTCGATGGTTCGGTTCTTCAATGCGGGATAAGCCAATCCAATCAGCCCATGCCATTTCATGGCCACTCTGCCCACATTGAAGTCCTGGTCGTAGCGCAAGAAATTTTGCACCAAAATCCTTGCAACCATGAGCCTGTGACACCAAGGCTCTGTGGACCTGGCCAGCAAGATCAATTGAGGATGATGATAAGTTTATGTAGTATTACATTAATGAAAAATTCAATTATAACAAAATCTGTGACCCATAACACCTTGAACAGACTCCGGCCTTGGGGAGAAAGACAAGGAAGCAAACGGAAGGAAATGCGAACATTGCAATCGCGATGTTTGCTCGAAGACGTCCTCTACCCAAGTGTCAAACCGATCATCAATTTCATCAGTTCCTGTGCTTGAAACTGTATCGGTAAAATTCAAGGCAGGAAGAGTACACGGGCGCTCCACTGATCTACCTCCCAACTCAAATGACTCTGCAGCATTCTTTTTCCTTTTGCATTTCTTGCGTGCTGGCTTCACAGGCCCAGCACTACCACTGAAGACCAGCGATGATCCCAGCACATGCTGGCACGGCCACTGGAAATTGGACATGTTGGTGATTCACTGACATCAATACATTGATTTGTTGTCCCACATAACTTTAAACCATACCTCTGGTCCAACTTGAGCAACAAATGGATTCAATGCTTGCCTGGCATATCAAGCACATTCCACAAACTAACAGGACACAATGTCAGGAAGGCTTGTTTTTGCTGATCGCTTTCTCCCCGAGCAATCTGCAGCATAACTATGGTGAGACTTCATGATTCATGTCATGTCATCTTCAATTGCACACTTCAGGCATTCAGCAACTGTAATTGCAACGTAACTGTAAAGACTCAATCACAGAATGAACAGCAACTGCGCACAAGCTGAAGCCAAAATTGTGAATCGAACATGTTGCCGCTATGACAGCAGGAGCAGATTCACACACATTGGACTCGGCTGGATGAACTCACTCC